CCTCCTCCTCCTCCTCCTCCTCCTCCTCCTCTTCTTCCTCCTCCTCCTCCATCTCTTCCTCCTCCTCCTCCTCCTCTTCCTCCTCCTCTTCTTCCTCCTCCTCCTCCTTCTCCTCCTTCTCTTTCTTCTCCTCCTGCTCCTCCTCTTCTCCCTTCTCTTCCTCCTCCTTCTTCTTGAGTACAGTGCATCGTGTGTGTGTGTGTGTGTGTGTGTGTGTGTGTGTGTGTGGTGTGTGTGTGTGTTTGTGCCAGTCCTGGGATGTGAACTCATGGTCTCTCACTCTTCCTTAGCTTTATCACTCAAGGCTGGTGCTCTGGTGTTCTACCACTTGAGTCACAGCACCACTTCTGGCTTTTTTTTTTATAGTTCACTGGACATAAGAGCCTCATGGACTTTTCTTCCTTGTCTTGGGGCCTAAATCCTCAGATCTCATTCCCCTTGAGTAGCTAGGATTACAGGTGTGAGGTACCAGCACCCCGCAGTGCAATGTATCTTGATCAATGTCCACAACTGAGTTATTTAAAAAAAATGTAACTTAAGCCAGATGCCGGTGACTCACACCTATAATCCTAGCTGAGATCTGAGGATCACAGTTCAGAGCCAGCCCGGGCAGGAAGGGTTGTGAGACTCTTATCTCCAATGAACCACCAGAAAACCAGAAGTGGTGCTGTGGCTCAAGTGGTAGAGCACCAACTTTTAGCTGAAGAGCAGAAAGACAACGCCCAGGCCCAGAGTTCAAGTCCTATGACCAACAAAAATAATAATAACTTTATTGTTATTGTTGAGGTGTTGCACAGAGAGGTTACCATTGCACAGTCCAGGTGCTGTGCGCATCCATTTCTCTTTTAGGCCATGTCCCTCTTCCCTCAGTTTCCCCTTCCCATTCCTGCCCACAGATTTCACAATTGCTTTCCCCCTGGTGTTTACTGAATCCCGTGATGGCATCTGCTCACCCCATCTCTTTCTGTGCCCCTCTAACCGGGTTCTTGGTGGTTCCATCTAACACGACACAGAAGAAACAGCTAACTCAGAGGAGGAGCGGGGAGAATCAGGATTGGTGCAAAGGAGAGGGCTGAGCACTAGAGCACCGGAGAACAGATTACAATTCTTTGACAAGAGACAGAGAAAGGCGGCTGGCATGGCATGCCAGGAAGCTGCGGTGCTTAGTAGCTCCACGGGGAAGAACCTGTCAGCGATGCCTCAGACAGAGCAGGCAAGGAAGGGAGCTGACAAGAAACATAACTCTCACTTGCGTTACATCCTGCCAAGTCCCACAGGATTGCCAAGTCCCACAGGATTGGGCATGGCGTGCCTGTCCATCTGTTGATTGGGGCAGAGGAGGGCGAGGGGAGGCAGAGGGAAGAGGATCATGGTTGGAGGCTGCTGCCAGGCCCCCAAACAAAAGCAAAGCAACAAGCAACCAAAAACCCCACGAGGTTCCGAACTGAATAACCAGAGGCTAAAAAAAAGAAGGTGTGACTCAAGTGGTAGAGCAAGGCCCTGAGTTCAGTTTTGCCAGGAAAAAAGAAAGGAGTGGGGGAAGGAAGGAAGAAAAGAAGGAAGGAAGGAGAAAAGGAAGGAGGGACCAAGAAGGAGAAGGAGAGAGAGGGAGGAAGGGGAAAGGAACAAAGGAGAGGAAATAAGGAAGAAAAAAGAAGAGAAGAAAGGAGGGAGAGGGAGAGAGAAGAGGAGAGGGAGAAAGGGAAAAGGGGACATTAAGAAGAAAAGAGAAAGAAAGGAAGGAAGGAAGGAAGGAAGGAAGGAAGGAAGAAAGCAAGCAAGCAGAGGAAGAGACGGGAGGGGAAGGAAGAAGGGGGAGGAGAGGAGGGAAAGAGAGGAAAGTCAGGAAAGGAAAGAAGGGAAGGGTGAGAGAAAGGGAGGGAAGAAATGGAGGATGCAAGGACGGAGAAGAGGAGGGAAAGGAAGGAAGGAAGGAAGGAGGGAGGGAGGGAGGGAAGGAGAGAGGGAAGGAAGAAGGGAGGGAAGGAAGGAAAGAAGGAGGAAGGGAAGGAGGGAAAGGAGGGAAGGACAGAAGGAAGGGAAGGTAGGGAAGGAATGAAAGAAGGAAGGATGGAAGGAAGGATGGAGAGAAGGAAGGAAGGAGGGAAGGAAAGAAGGAAGGATTGAGGGAAGGAAGGAAAGAAGGAAGGGAGGAAGGAAGGAAGGAAGGAAAGAAAGGGAAGGAAGGCAGATATCACAATATATGGCAGTTCACTTAATTTAAAAATACCTGGTCAGGAGACTCTGCCTAGATTTAAATTGATGAGAATTTACAGTTCTGACAAGCATTCCCCCCCCCCCACCCCCAACTGCCTCCAAGAATTCTGGAAGTCTGTGAGTAACATATTTTGAGTCTTATATTCTGATGCAGATATATTCTAATCCTATGGAGTGGGAGGGGATTCTAAACAGGTCGTGGGGCTTGAATTCTGGGCCTGGGCGCTGTCCCTCAGCGCTTCAGCTCAGGGCTGGTGCTCTACCACTTGAGCCACGGCGCCACTTCCAGTTTCCTGAGTATGGTTTATTGGGGATAAAAGTCTTACGGACTTTCCATGCCCGGGCTGGCTTTGAACCGTGATCCTCAGATCTCAGCCTCCTGAGTAGCTAGGATGACAGGCGCGGACCTCCAGCTCTCCATTCCTCTTATTGTGTCAGCCCGGCCCAGTCATTCTGAGCTACAGAAGAGATTAGTTACAGAAAACCCAACCCACTTGGTTATTAGTCATTTCAGCACCATGGACAGCACAGGGCCCAACAGATCACCCCCACTTTCTGGCAGGACCACAGCACTGAGCTGCATTTGCACAGCTCTTAATTCTGCCTCATTTTGAAGAGTCACACACAAGGACGTCCCCAGCTTCATTCCCTGAGCTTCGAGTCAAGTCCCAAGCATTCAACTCTGTGTGTGTGTGTGTGTGTGTGTGTGTGTGTGTGTGTCCGTCTGAGACTCGAACTCAGGGCCTGGGTGCTGTCCCTGAGCTTCTTTTGCTCAAGGCTGATGCTCTGCCAGTTTGAGCCAACTGTTTCCCTCTTCCTTCTGGTTTTCTGGTGGTTTATTGGAGATCAGAGTCTCACAGGCTTTTCTGCCTGGGCTGGCTTTGAACCATGAGCCTCAGATCTCAGCCTCCTGAGTTGCTAGGGTTTACAGGGAACTCACAGGAGATTTTCCTGATGCCACAGAGAGTGGGGTTCTGTCTGCAAGGACTGAGCAGGATTGTGGCTAAGATGGTCTCTCTTACATGGCCAGGAAGAGCTTATTATACAAGGCCTAATGGCCTGGCTCCTTCAATGGTCAGCTTTCTGAACCGTGTTCTCATAGTTCCAGAAACCCTGAACTTTAGTGAAATGTCCAAAGTCAAAAACAGACAGACAGCTGGGCGCTGGTGGCTCATGCCTGTAATCCTAGCTACTCAGGAGGCTGAGATCTGAGGATCGAGGTTCAAAGCCAGCCCGGGCAGGAGAGACCGTGAGACTCCTATCTCCAATAAACCACCAGAAAACTGGAAGTGGTGCTGTGGTTCAAGTGGTAGAGCGCTCGCCTTGAGCTGAAGAGCTGAGGGACAGCGCCCAGGTCAGAGTTCAAGCCCCATGACCAACAAAAACAAAACAAAACAAAACAAAAACCAGACAGACAGACACACACACACGAACACACACACACAAATTCAAATTACCTGGACATACACCAATATCACTGAATATATACATATATACATACATGTGTGCATAATATACAAACATATATGTTTATATACACATAGCCATGTATATGCATATATATGATTATATACACATATATGCACACACATATACATAAAAGCTTGGTACTAGTGGCTCACACCTATCATCCTTGCTCTTCAAGAGGCTGAAATCAGGACTGTGATTTAAAGCCAGCCTGGGAAGAAAAATCCAGAAGATTCTTATCTCCAATGAACCAACAAAACCTGCAAGTGGCACCATGGGCTTAAAGTGGTAGAGCACAAACTAGCCTTTAGCAAAAGCGCTCAAGGTCAGTGCCAGGTCCTAAGTTCAAGCCCCAGGACTGGCACACACACACACAGACACACACACAGACACACACACACACACACACACACACACACACACAAATAGTTGTAATGGATAATCTGGCTGTGAGGGAGATTGGTCATCCGTGTACAAGGAGACAATCATCTGGAGATCTAAACTGCAGTTCCAGGAATGAAGAACACATTGTAAATGTTAATGAATGAAAAGATTGTGGGCAGAAAGTTACTTAGAAGAAGTAGATTCTGAATTCAAGTCTTCCTGGAATGTAGGAGCAAGCCTGGAGCTCGGTGGTCATCCTTGAAATGAGGAAGCACTGGTACAGGCAGAGTATGTGTGTGTGTGTGTGTGTGTGTGTGTGTGTGTGTGTGTACATGTGCATGTGCATGTAAGTGTGTATGTGTGTGCATGTGTGTATGCATAAGTATATGTGTGTTTGAGTGTGTGTATTGTGAGTGTATGTGTGTGTATGTGACTATATTGTGTACATGTGAGTAAATGTGTGTATGTGTAAGCATGTTGTGTGTGTGTGTGTGTGTGTGTGCATGTATTTGGGGAAGATCACAAAGTAAAGCAGCAGAAAGAAGCAGTAAGGGGGTGGAGGCATGGCTGATCGGGTGGAGGCGTAGCCCAGCGGATAGCATGCTAGCCAATGAGCGAAAGCAGCAGGGACTGAGTTCGAGTCCTGGTCCCAGCCCTAAACAAACACACCAACCCAAAAGCAATGGGAATAGCTCTTGGGAAGCAAACACATTCAAGGTGCCAGGACCTGGGTGGACAAACAGCCTCTCCCTGAAAGCCCTGGGGATGCGTGTTTGGAAGAAGCTCTTGTGAGCTCAGAATTGGGGGGTAGTCTAGCAATGGGGGGGGAGGAAAAGATGGGGGGGTGGGGACAATGGCCACGCTGTCAACTTCTCTGGGGGTCCTGTGTCTTCTCTTAAGGATCTGAACTCCTCCTGAAGAAGGATGAGAAGATGGAGCTCACGCTGGTGTCCCTGGGGGTGACCCCCCACTTCCGCCGGTTCACTCCCGAGTCCCTGGTGGAGATTGAGAAACGCATCTCAGCCCATCAGGCTGCCAAGAAAAGCAGGGAGAAAAGGAGGAGCAGAGAGGAGGAGGGTGAGAAGCTCCGGCCTCAGCTAGACTTGAAAGCCTGCAACCAGCTACCTAAGTTTTATGGTGAACTCCCTGCGGAGCTGGTCGGGGAGACCCTGGAGGATTTAGATCCTTTCTACAGCACTCACCGGGTAAGAGCTACTTGGGGGGGGAGGGAGTCATGCTCTCTCAGTGAGAGGCCCAGAGATCCAGGGGATCCCCTAAGTCTTGACAAATGGGACAAGGCTGCTAAAGATTCAGAAACCAAGCCATCGATGTAACGCAGCGCTCGCATGCTTTGAATCTCTCTCCATGAGATTTTTGGCTTTTTGTGGGTGCCAGGGCTCGAACTCGAGGCCTGGGCACTGTCCCTGAGCTTCTTTGTGTTCAAGGCTGGCGCTCTACCACTTTGAGCCCAATATGGCGCCACTTCCGGTTTCCTGGTGGTTTATTGTAGGTAAGAAACCCAGGCTGGCTTTGAACTGCCATCCTCGTGTCTCAGCCTGCTGAGTGGTTGGGATGGCAGGTGTGAGCTACCAGCCCCAGCCTTGCTCTCATGAGTCTCTTGCTTTGAAATGTGGTTGGGCCAGGTTTCTGATTCTCATGTGTGTGTGTGTGTGTGTGTGTGTGTGTCTTTTTTGCTCTGTTGTGTTTTAGACTTTTATTGTGCTGAACAAAGGGAGGACCATCTCCCGGTTTAGTGCCACCCGGGCCCTGTGGCTCTTCAGTCCTTTTAACCCCATCCGAAGAACAGCCATCAAGGTGTCCGTCCATTCGTATCCTTTGTGTCTCTGTGGGTTCAAAGCAGGCTCCCAAGGGCAGGGCGCCCCGTGGCTCACACCTGTCACCCCAGCCACTCAGGAGGCTGAGATCTGAGGACCCCGCTTCCAAGCCAGCACCAGCCGTAAAGTCTCTGAGACTCTTATCTCCAAGGGCTCACCAAAAAGCCGGAGTGGAAGTGTGACACAAGTGGTAGAGCACCAGCGTTGAGTGTAAAAGCTCAAGGACAGCACCCAGGCCCTTAGTTCCAGCCCCGTATTAGCATAGAATAAGAATACTACTATTGCCGGGCGCTGGTGGCTCACGCCTGTCATCCTAGCTACTCAGGAGGCTGAGGTCTGAGGATCGCAGTTCAAAGCCAGCTCGGGCAGGAGAGCCCGTGAAACTCTTATCTCCAATAAACCACCAGAAAACCGGAAGTGGTGTTGTGGCTCAAGTGGTAGAGCGCTAGCCTTGAGCTGAAGAGCTGAGGGACAGCGCCCAGGCCCAGAGTTCAAGCCCCAGGATGGACAAAAAAAAAAGGATACTATTATTATTGTATCTAATTATCTAGAATGATACTAATATTATCATTGTTTATAATAATTATATCATTATTTGCAATAACATCATCACCGATGTAATAATTTATAACAATGATAATGTAAAATTATATAGTTATATATTTATTATGTATAATTATATACATTATATATTATAATTATTACATATAATTATATATAATATATTTATTATATTTTAATTATATAATGATAATGTGTATATAATATTATATAATATATAATAATTATATATTATTATATATTTATTTGCTTATATTTATGTAATTTATATATAAATTATTATATATCTAAAGGTATATATCAATAAATATACTATGTATAAATATATTTATATATAAATTTATTTTTTATAAAATTCATTTATACATAAATATATATTTACTTGTATAATTCATATACACATTATTATATAATAGTGATACTATTACATAATAAATTTAGATAATATTTTATATGATATCAAATTTTTATATAATATCATAGTAAGTTATATGATATTATTTATCATTTGGTGATATATAATAGTATGTAATATATAATACTATAAATAATGATAATAGAATCATAATTAAATAATGATAATTCTATGATATCAAATGCACACCCAAAAGAAAGAAAGAAAAGGTAAAAGAAACCCCTTTGTGCAACTACTTAAAGCTAATTTTCTTTTTTTGTATTTTGGTACTGGGGCTTGAACTCAGGGCCTGGGCACTGTCCCTGAGCTTCTTTTACTCAAGGCTGGTGCTCTACCACTTGAGCCACAACACCACTTCCAGTTTTTCTGGTGGTCCTCTGGAGAGGAGAGTCTCATGGACTTTCCCTTCCTGGGCTGGCTTTGAACCACGATCCTCAGATCTCAGCCTCCTGAGTAGCTGGGATGACAGGCGGGAGCCACCAACACCGGCTCCTAAGTACCATTAAACACAACAAGATGCAGTCTGACTTTATAAAGTCTGTAGAATGACAGGTGTGATCTCTTGAAAAATGTTAACACTTGTGTTCGAGTCCTCTGTAGATGTGAGCCAATTTCTTCATTGAAGTATAATTTAGTGATCATTACAGAGGAGAACAAGGAAATAATGCGGTTGAATTAGATGCATTTTGCCTGCTCAAATCGGGTCTGTTCCTAGGTAACCAGAAAACACGGCGCATTAGCAAAGCATTTACAGAAAACCCGAAGATAGATTTAACATTCCTGCTCACCCCGAGGCCAGACAGTAAAGACTGACTCGGGGGGCCAGGGTTCTCTGCTGGAATTTGTCTTCTTTTATTATTATTATTTTTTGGTTCATTTTTCTTCAGAAAGATCCAGAAGGGAGCAGGGAGAAGAAAAAATGACCCTGTAGGCAAAAACTCGCTTTTGCATTCTTTCCCACAGCTTTAGCCTTGTGGGGTGGTCCCCCTCTCTCCCTGCCCCAGCTACTCAGGAGGCTTGAGATCTGGAGGATCACTGTTCCAAGCCAGCCCGGGCAGGAATGTCCATGATGACTCTCATCTCCCATGAACCACCAGAAAACTGGAAGTGGTTCAAAGTGGTAGCGTGCTCGCCTTAAGCAAAGGAAGCTCAGGAACAGCACCCAGGCCGCTTCTTCATACTGGGCCCACTTGGTATATACTGGGCCTGATATTCTACCCACTGGGCTTCACCTCTCAGCAGGCTCCAATCCGGATGAGAGAGAATCCTATCTACCTGATTTCAGAGACAAAATGGGGTGAGGTGCTGGTAGCACATGCCTGTAATCCCAGCTTACTTGGGGAAGGCTGGAACTAGGAGGATCACGGTTTCAAAGCCAGCCTGGGACAGGAAAGTCTGTGAGATTCTGGCCTCCAAGGCACCAGCCAAAAAGCTGGACGTGGAGGTAGGTGGCTGTAAGGGGAAGAATACCACCAGCTTTGAGGGGGAAAAGCTCAGGGACAGCGGCCAGGTCCCAAGTTCAAGCCCCAGGACCGGCACACACACACACACACACACACACACACACACACACACACACGGAGGTGATCTTAAATGACATGATGTGGATGGGAAACCCAATCTTTCCTTAACACGGGTCTTGCAGTTGGTTCACTACCTTTATTACCGTCACGATTCTGATCAATTGTGGGTGCATGACCCAGAATGACCTTCCAGAAAAAATCGAGTGAGTTGATCTATCGTACCATCTCCTGGGCTTTCCCCATTTCTCTTTGCCCTCTTGTTTTCCTCGGCCCTTTAAAAAATTTGTCTTTATCTTCCCTGTTTCTTCATAGAATGCTGAATTCTATCATCAATTTGATTTTAGAAGGATTTAGGTTTCTTCTTCTGGTTTTGTTTCTTTGGTGTTTTCTCTGGGTGGGTGCACAGAAACATGAATGAATTCAGGAGGGTCTCAAAACTCACACTTGGATTTTTCTCCCTCATGGCGGGTGCTCTACCGCTTGAGCCACGCCTCCACTTCAGCCTTTTGGCACATTCCTTGGAGTCTCTTGGAATTCTCTGCTCCAGCTGGCTTTTAACCAGGATCCTCAGATTGCAGCCTCCTGAGTAGCTAGGAGCCAAGATGTTGGGCCACTGGGTACCTAATTTTTTCTGTGAGTTTTATTTCATAAATACTCAGATGATTTTCTTCAAAAACAAAAAAAAATTTAAAAAAAGTCATAACCATATGGATTGGCTGAGCGCCGGTGGCTCACGCCTGTCATCCTAGCTACTCAGGAGGCTGAGAGCTGAGGATCATGGTTCAAAGCCAGCCTGGGCAGGAAAGTCTGTGAGACTCTCATTTCCAGTGAACAACCAGAAAACCAGAAGTGGCGCTGTGGCTCAAGTGGTAGAGCACTCGCCTTGAGCAAAAAGCAGCTCAGGGACAGCGCCCAGGCCCTGAGTTCAGGCCCCATGACCAAAGAAAACGCTTAGCAAAAACAAAAAAGCCCCCCTACCCGCACAAAAATATGGGGGAGAACATTCCAGAAAGAGTAGGGAGACAAAAATGTTAGCAATGGCTGGCGAAAAGATCTCTCCTGCCCACCTTCTACCCTGCATGCACAGCAAACTATCACTGGATGGCCTCAGGATGTATGATAGCCATTTGGGTGGGGGCTGTGTGAAGGGCCGGGCATGGTAGCGCATGCCTATAATCTCAACACTCAAGTGGCCGAGGTAGGAAGATCACAAGCGCCATGCAGTGAGACTCCATCGCACATAAGCAAGTGCTTAACTGGAGGTGTGGCTCAAGTGGTAGAGCACCAGCCTTGAGCTGAGGAGCTGAGGGACAGCGCCCAGGCCCACCGAGCAGCTGGTTTGGAGCCATGGCTTTGCTGATGGCTTCTCCAAGTGAGAGAAAGCAGAATAGTTCCACGCCAGGCAAATAAAGGCTCACTGGGCCTGACGGGAGAAGAGGAGGGAGACAGGAAGGAAGTTTCTAGAACCCATGCCCTCTCCTCCCATCCATGGGTCTGGAACAAAGCAGACGCCAGCTTCCACCAGACAGGTGTCTGGAGCATGAAACGGGGGGATCACAGTCCTCCCCACCCCGCCCCCCGCACTGCGGCCTGCCCCACCCGCCCCACTCACCCCTGTGTGCCCTGCCGCTCCTCCATCTGCATCTGCCCTTCCCCACGTACCTCCTTCTTCCTCACCTGGGACCTGGTGGCTCCCAGGGACCCAGCAACCCAGCTCTCCTTCCTACAGGCAGAGAAAACACCCCAGAGATCCTCCTCCTCCTCCTCCTCCTCCTCCTCTTCCTCCTCTTTCCTTCCTTCCTTCCTTCCCTCCTTCCTTCCTTCCTTCCTTCCTTCCTTCCTTCCCTCCCTCCCCCCAACCTCCCTCCCTCCTTTCTTTCTTTCCTCCTCCTCCTCCTCCCTCTTTTTCTTCTTTCTCCTCCTCCTTCCTCCTCCTCCTCCTCCTTCTCCTTCTTCTTCCTCCTCCTCCTCCTCTTCCCCTTCCTCCTCTTCCTCCTTCCTCTTTCTTTCTTTCGTTGTTCTTTCCCCTCCTTCTCCTTTTTCCTCCTCCTCCTCATTCTTATCTTCTTCTTCTTCCTCTTCTTCTTTCTCCTCCTCCTTCTTCCTCCTCCTCCTCCTCCTTCTTTTCTCCTCCTCCTCCTCCTCTTCCTCTTCCTCTTCCTCCTTCCTTCCTTCCTTCCTTCTTTCTTTCCTCCTCATTCTCCTCTTTTTCCTTCTCCTCTTCCTTCTTCTTTCTCTGTCTTTCTCTGTCTCTGTCTTTCTCTGTCTCTGTCTTTCTCTGTCTCTGTCTGTCTCTGTCTCTGTCTCTGTGTCTCTGTCTCTGTCTCTGTGTCTCTCTGTCTCTGTCTCTGTCTGTGTGTCTGTCTCTGGCACAGGTCACTGTCCTGCGCTCTCTCGCAGGTACGTCTTCACCGTCATTTACACCTTTGAAGCTCTGATAAAGATCCTGGCGAGGGGCTTCTGCCTCAATGAGTTCACCTACCTGCGTGACCCCTGGAACTGGCTGGACTTTAGTGTCATCTCCCTGGCGTAAGTTCCCCCCCCCAGCATGAGTTCCCCCCCGGCGTGAGTCCTCCACCCCCGGCGTGAATTCCCCCCCCCCCGCGTGAGTGCCCCCCCCCCAGGTGACCGGTGTCATCTTTGTGTTGCCTGTGGTTCATCGTTATTTTTAGGGGTCTCCAGGATCATTCTCCCGTGAGGCTTCCTCATCTGTCAATCCAGCTCCCTCTGCAGGGGCCAAGTCAGAGACCTCAACTCAGGCCAGGCACCCATGGCTCACGCCTGTCATCCCAGCTCCTCAGGAGGCTGAGATCCAAGGATCATGGTTCAAGGCCAGCCCGGGCAGGAAGTTCCATGAGACTCCAATCTCCAAGGCACCACCAGAAAACCAGAAGTGGTGCCCTATCTATGGCTCAGAGTAGTAGAGAGCCAGCCTTGAGCACAGAGAGGCTCAGGGACCGCACCTAGGCCCCCCCGAGTTCAAGCCTTTTGAGTGGCAAACAACAAGATTGCCTGTTTGCACAGCCAGGCATCTGTGTAGAACCCAGAGCCTGGGATCACAGCCCGACTTCTCAGCGATCCTTTGTGAGAGGGATACCCCGGTGTGCAGACCTGTGCTCAGAGGGCAGGGCTGGGCTGTCCGTGGTGGTCAGCCACGGGCGTGCTGAGGGTCCTGTCCACCACGATCGCCCCCTTTGTGTCCTGCCTGCGATCCCGGGGTCCCCCTACCCGGCTCAGTCAATCTCACGCCCCCCCCCCCCAGGTATGTGGGTGCAGCTACCAACCTCCAAGGAATCTCTGGCCTGCGAACCTTCCGCGTTCTGAGAGCATTGAAGACGGTCTCTGTGATCCCAGGTGGGTTGTGGACTCCATTTTGTCCTATTACTATTACTGCTGTTGTTGTTGTTGGTGGTGGTGGTGGTGCCAGTCTCAGTTCTCGGGTTCTTCTACCCTGGGGCTGGCTTTGAACCTCCGATCTCGGCAGGGGTGTGAGCCGGGCGTGCGGTCGGTTCTCTGCAGGGCTGAAGGTCATAGTAGGGGCTTTGATCCACTCGGTGAGGAAGCTGGCGGACGTGACCATCCTCACCGTCTTCTGCCTCAGTGTCTTCGCTCTGGTGGGCCTGCAGCTCTTTAAGGGTAACCTCAAGAACAAGTGTGTCTGGAACACCACAACCTTCCCGGCGAATGCCACCGACTCCACCGACAGGAAAGGTGAGTGCCGATCACCCGCTATCCAGACCAGGACTGTAGCTCATGCCTAGCATCCCAGCCATGTCAGCAGGCTGAGATCCAGAGGATCGCGTGTCAAAGCCAGCCCCAGGGGGAAGGAAAGTCCCTGAGACTCTTTAGTCTCCAGTGAACCACCCCCCCAAAAAAAAGCCCGAAGTGGAGGCGTGGTTCAAGTGGTAGAGCACCCGCCTTGTATGAAAAACCCAAATGGGACTGGGAGGTCCCTGGAGACTGGAGACATGGCTCCATTGCTGGAGAACTTGCCTGGGAGCAGTAATAGCAGGTACTGAGTTCAAATCTCAGTCTTGGACTGAAAAAAAAAAAGACCAAGGGGGTCCTGAGTTCAAGCCCCAGTACAGACACCCACACAAAAACAAAATAAGGCCCGAGTTTGTTGGGCCCGAGAGCTGCTTTATGGATCGAGGCCCTGAATGTCTGTAGAGCGATATGTTTGGATCTTTTTTGGTTCTCCCGGAATACATCTGCTGCATCAGGTCTAACTTGCTCCCCAGAATCTCTTTTATTTTAATTTTATTTTAGAGCAGTGAGTATTGTAGCCAGGTATGGGCGGCTCACACCTGTCACCCCAGCTTCTTAGGAGGCTGAGAGCCGGAGGATCGCGGTTCAAAAGTCCCTCTGGGAATCTCTGATCTCCAATGAACCATGCAAAAAGCCAGAGGTGGAAGTGTGGTCCAAGTGGTAGAGCACCAGGCTTGAGAGCTAAAAAAAAAAAAAAGAAGAAAATTAAAAAGCTAAAGAAAGAGCCCAGGCTTTAAGTTAGGCCCTGCTGGAAGTGTCCAGAACCACGGGGAAGCTGCTCATGTCTTCCTTTCTTTCCGCAGAGAAGTATGTGATCAAGGAAGGCACTTCGGAGCCCCTGCTGTGCGGGAATGGCTCTGACTCGGGGTGAGTTCCCAGCCCACCAGGGCCCCAAGGCCGGGTCTCCCTCTTGTGTTCAGTGTTCTCTGGTCAGATACACCGTTACCATCTTGAGGAAAGATATACTGACCAGGTACAGTGGCTCACGCCTGCCGTCCCAGCTGACTAAGGTGGCTGAGATCCAGAGGATCACAGTCCAAAGTCAACTGGGGACGGGAAAAGCTGATGAGATTCTTCTCTCCAGCGAACCACCAAAAAAGCTGGAAAAGGGGGGATGTGGCCCAAAGTGGGAGAGGGCTAGTGTTGAGTGAAAGAGAGCTCAGGGACATTGTCCAGGCCCCAGGATGGCAGAGAGAGAGAGAGAGAGAGAGAGAGAGAGAGAGGCTTCTTGCCATGATCCAAGACTTTGGGACTTAAAACAATCATTCATTTAGCCAGTGAACCATTTATTCGTTTACTTAACTATTTATTTAGAGATGGAGGGCTTGTGGCTTCAAGATGCCCCTCTTCTCCTTGGGTTCTTGGACAGAATCAGCAAAAGCCCAGGAGAGCAGTGGAAGTGTGCAAGGCCCAGAGCTCTTCCTGCTCTTTCCTTCCTTTCTCCCCCCTCCCTCTTCCCCTCTTCCCCAACCCCTCCTCTTCCTCCTGCCCTAGTCCCTCCTCTTCCGTCCCCCCTCCCTTCCTCTTCCCTACCCCTTCTTTCCCTTCCCATCCCTTCTCCTTCCCCTCCCCTCCTCCTCCTCCTCCTTTTCTCTGTCTCTTTCTGTCTCTCTCTCCCTCTCTCTCCTCTTCCTTCTGCCTCTCCACACAACTCCTTAAATACTAATGACGGATGCAGGGATTTTGTTGTTTGTTTGACAGCGCTGTCCAAACAGGTCTGCCTCTCATTATTTTAGGGCAATAGAGTGTTGTAATGTAGGCAAAATGGCATTGGAAAGAAAAAGTATATATTTTGAGGTTCCAAATAGGCTTCAAAAATAAAAGTCAGTGCCAGTGGCTCACGACTGACATCCTAGCTACTCAGGAGACTGAGATCTGAGGATCATGGTTCAAAACCAGCCTGGGGACCAGAAAATCAGAAGTGGTGCTGTGGCTCAAGTGGTAGAGCGCCAGCCTTGAGAACACAAGAGATCAGGGACAGCGCCCAGGCCCTGAGTTCAAGTCCCAGGACCAACAGAAAAAAGGAGGAGGAGAAGGAGGAAAAGAAGAAAGAGGAGGAGGAAAAGGAAGAGGAGGAGGAGGAGGAGGAGGAAGAGGAGGAGGAGGAGGAGGAGGAGGAGGAAGGTCAACTTGAACTCTAATCTCTGATGTCCAACTCTGTGGGTCTTCCGCTGACTTGAACTGCTTTGTATCCAATAAACAGAGGCTGTCAAATCAATAATTGGTTTTTTTTTCCTGCTCACCACAGCCACTGCCCTGAAGGCTCCATCTGCCTTAAAACTTACCAAAACCCAGATTACAACTACACCAGCTTCGATTCCTTTGCCTGGGCCTTCCTCTCCCTCTTCCGCCTCATGACACAGGACTCCTGGGAACGCCTCTACCAGCAGGTATGGACTCGTGTGTGTGTGTGGTGTGTGTGTGTGTGTGTGTGTGTGTGTACGTGTGCTGGTCCTAGGGCTTGAACTTAGGGCCTGGTGCTGTGCCTGAGCTTTTTTGGTTCAAGGCTAACTCACTACCATTGGAGCCACGGCACCACTTCCAGTTTTCTGGTGGTTGATTGGAGATGAGAGTCTCACAGACTTTCCTACCCAGGCTGGCTTTGAACCACGATCCTCTAGATCTCAGCCTCCTGAGTAGCTGGGATGACAGGCGTGAGCCACCAGGGCCTGGCTCCCAAGGCAGACTCCACAGGAGGCTGGGGGGGGATCTGTGGGTATGGCTCCCCTCTTCCTGGAGACTGAGGGTGCGGGTGGGGGATCCTGACGTAATGTACAGGTGACCCCTGTACTATGAATCCGGGCGCCTCTTTGCTTTCCCTTGCACCTGCAGACGCTCAGGGCATCGGGGAAGATGTACATGATCTTCTTCATGCTGGTCATCTTTCTGGGCTCCTTCTACCTGGTCAACCTCATCCTGGCCGTGGTCACCATGGCCTACGAAGAGCAGAACCAGGCCACCATGCTGGAAATCGAGGAAAAGGCAAAGAAATTCCAGGAGGCCTCTGAGTTGCTGCAGAAGGAGCAGGAGGTGGGTAAGGGGGTTAAATAGTTGAGGGGCCACTTGCAGAGAATATGTAGTGTCATCCCTGGGACTTGAACTCAGGGCCTGGGCACGGTCCGTGAGCTCTTTGTGCTCAAGGCTGACGCTCTGCCACTTTGAGCCAGATAGATGGCGCCACTTCCGGTTTCCTGGTGGTTCCTTGGAGGTGAGAGTCTCACAGACTTTCCTGCCCTGGCTGGCTTTGAACTGTGATCCTCTAGATCTCAGCCTCCTCAGTAGCTAGGATGACAGGCCTAAGCCATCAATGCTCAGCTAGGGAGATGCATCTTGATCCAGTCTTAGATCCATTTCTTTAAAAAAAAAATTGTCCAGGCATCCATGGCTCACACCTGCCATGGTAGTGACTCAGGAGGCTGAGATCTGAGGATCTCATTTTGAAGGCAGCCCATGCAAGAAAGCTCATGAGACTCTTATCTCCAATGAATCATCAAGGGAGCAGGAGTCAACGACTCACACCTGTCATCTTAGCTTCTCAAGAGGCTGAGATCTGAGGATCACAGTTCAAAGTCAACCCTGGGCAGGAAGCCCTTGAGACTCTAATCTCCAATAAACCACCAAAAGGCTGCAAGTGGAGCTATGGCTCCAAGTGGTAGCCTTGATCACCAAAGCTCTGGAAAACAGCACCCAGGTCCTGAGTTCAAGCCCTAGGACTGGCACCCAAAAAAATGAGGGGACCGGGTGGGCCCCCCAGCAGCTACCAGCGACTGAGTGACAGAGGGGTCCCTGAGCTGGTCACTTCATCCTGACCCTAGCACGGTACAGCCCTGACCCTTTCCTGTCCTCTGTCTCCAATCCTCCACCCCTGTGGCCTCTGTGTCTAGGACGTACATGCGTGTTCAACCTGGCTCAATCTGCTCTGTCTCTGTCTCTCCCTTTTTCTTGTCTCTGTCTGTGTCTTTCTCTCTCTATCCATCTCTCTGTCTCTGTCTCTCTCTCTTTCTCTCTTTCCCCAGGTGTTGGCATCGCTGGGCATTGACACAGCCTCGCTCCATTCTCACAATGAATCACCACCAGCTACCCAAAACACCAATGACCCCAGAAGGCATGGATTGAAAGCCAGGGTGTCCGAGGGTTCCGCCGACAACAACTCTCCCCAATCGGAGCCTTACAACCAGCGCAGGATGGTGAGAGTTCAAAGCTCCGCTCGGAGCCTTGGTTGTCGGGGGTGAAGGCGTGGTTCAAGTAGGAGACCATCAGCCTTAAACAACAAAAAGCCAAGCAAGAGTGCAAAGCCTTGAGTGCAAGTCCCAGTACCAGCACACATGCATGCACACACACACACACACACACACCACACACACACTTGTTGGAATTGTAACACATGGGAAAAGAGAATACAGGATGACCCTTATATGACAGCATTGTGCTCCTAGTCAGGCAGCATTGGAGCAAGAGTCTAGGTTTGTAGGGAAAATGGATGTCCACCATGCTTGTGGACAGGGAGGGGCCGCGTCTCTAGGGGAAATCTGATTGGCTGCTCTATAGTTGGTGGGCGGAATTTCCCTGTCCTTGGTGCTGAAATCACTCTTAGAATTTCCATTTTCTTTCTTCCTTCTTTCCTTCCTTCCTTCCTTCCTTCCTTCCTTCCTTTCTTTCTTTCTTTCTTTCTTTCTTTCTTTCTTTCTTTCTTCCTTTCCTTCTCTCTTTCCTTCTTTCTTTCCTTCCTTCCTTCCTTTCCTTCCTTCCTACCTTCCTTCCTTCCTTCCTTCCTTTCCTTCCTTCTTTCTTTCTTTTTCTTTTTGCTCAAGGCTAGTGCTCTACCATTTAAGCCACAGCTTTACTTCTGGCATTTTGGTTGGTTCATTGAAGATAAGAGTCTCATGGACTTTGAACTGCAATCCTCCAGATATCAGCCTCCTGAGTAGCTAGGATGACAGGCTTTGAGCCACTGGCACCTGGTCTATGAGACTCTTACCTCCAGTGAACCACCAAAAAGCTAGAAGTGGAGGCTCATGTGGTAGAGGGCTAGACTTGAGTGGAAAGCTAAGGCCCAGGGCTGGGAAGGTGGCTCAGTGGTAGAGCGCTTGCCTTGCATGCCTGAGGCTCTGGGTTTGATTCCTCAGCACCACATAAGCAAAAAAGAAAAAAGCCGGAAGTGGCGCTGTGGCTCAAGTGGTAGAGTGCTAGCCTTGAGCTGAAGAGCTGAGGGACAGCGCCCAGGCCCAGAGTTCAGCCCCCCCCCACCAGAACCCCCCCCCCAAAAAGAAAAGAAAAGCTAAGGCCCAGCGATCAGGCCCTGAGTTCAAGTCCTAGCACCAGCACACAATGAATAACGGTGATAATGAGGCTCGCAGGAAGTGAAGAGGGCAGAGGAGACTATGCTCTTGATTGATCACATGACCAGCTTCCAGCCTGTTTCTCTCCCTGCTCATGACTGGGGCGATGCCCAGTCCTTCCTAGGCCTCACTGCGGGGAGACGCCGAGCCAGCCATAGCAGCGTGTTTCATTTCCGAGCACCTGGGCGAGAAATTTCTTTCTCTGATGGGATCAGTGACGATGGAGTGTTTCATGGAGATCCCGAAAGCCAACGCGGCCCTGTGCTAATGGGCAGGGGTCCTGGACCACAAGACCCCCTTCCCAGAATTCCACTGTCACAACCCCCCAACTCTGGCTCTGGATATGGGGATGGGGGAACCATCATGTTACCTGTTCCTGGAGCCACGGATGTCCCGGTGAGTTTGTACACCCCATTTGCTCCTTAGGTGAGGGAAAGGAATATCTTCTTAGATTTTTTTTTTTGGACATCAGTCCTAGGACTTGAACTCTGGGCTTGGGTGCTGTCCCCTGAGATCAAGGCGAGTACTCTACCACTTGAGTCCCAGCGCCACTTCCAGTTTTCTGGTGGTTCATTGGTGAAAAGAGTTTCACAGACTTTCCTTCCTTGGGCTGGCTTTGAACTCCAATCTAGATCTCAGCCTCCTGAGTAGCTGGGATGACAGGCAGGAGCCATCAGCATCCAGCCAGCTTTGAATTCCTTAACAGAAAAATTGGCTTGAGCCCTGTAATTTGAATTCTCCCTCCGGTTTCAGTAACGAGGCCTCAAGTGTTTTTGATTTGCCCTCTCTGGCTAGCCAGAGGGAGAAACAGAGCAAATTGCAAATAATGTGAGCTCTACTGACTTAGGAAAGGCTTACAGAATTGTGTTCTCTCAATGTGGTTAGATACTGTGGGATTCAAGATGCCAGCAAGCAAAACAAAAATGAAAACAAGAATTGTCTCCACCGGTAAATGAAAAAGAAATCTAGTATTTACATATGGGAATGAAAGAGTGTGGTATTGTGAGAAAACCCATCTTTTCTACCAAAGTAAATTTGCTTCCTTTCTGTGAGTTTCCAGAGACTTGTTTCTCTGAAGGGTTCTTGCCTGGGCTGGTGGCTTGACCCTTGTGAATTACTTTAGTGACATCCATCCTTTTCCTGAGCATTTGAATGAAGATGGCCAGAGGGGAGCTCCTGGAATATGCTTACATCTTGTTAATTCAGCCACATCCTTCTGCAGACTGTGAACCTGAGCTCAGCCAATAGGAGCAGAGGGGCCTGAGCTTGGCCAATAGGAGCAGAGGAGGCTTGAACTTGGCCAATGCGGGCTGAGGGGACTGAGCTCAGCTAATGGGAACCAGAGGGACCTGAGCACAACCAATGGGAGCAGAGGAGGCCTGAGCCCAGCCAATGGGAGCAGGGGGGTGGGACCTGCTGGGCTAGGGATAAAAAGGGAGCAGCCGGCCTGCTCTGTTTTGCTTGATTGCCAGGTTTTTTGGCTGATGGCAGCTGCAGACTGCGGAAGCAAACTTCGCCTTGCTGAGCACATCCAGACAGGGCTTCAAAAATGGAAGATTCTGGTATACAATGTTGTAGTCCATTCAGCTCCTATTAACAGAATAACCATAGGCAACGCGAGACTGAGGATCCACAGGAGTTGGTCTCTCAGAGTTCTGAAGATTAGAGTTTCAAGCTCAAGTGGATGACAGATTCCACTGTGTGGGGAGGTGGGAGAGCATCCTCCACCTGGACTCCAGAGATGACAACTTCTTGTTGCTCTCTGGCATGTGTCTGTCTGTCTGTCTGTCTCTCAGCTTGAACCCAGGGCCAGGTTGCTGTCTCTGAACTCTTCTGCTCCAGGCTAGAGCTCATTACCAAGGATTCTTCCTCCACAGGGAAACTTGCAACCATGAGTCTGACCAGCAGGGAACCTGGGGCCTGGTTCATCACTGTTAAGAGTTCAGGTTGAGGGCGGGGATGGGGTAGTTTCTCCTGATTTTTTTTTCTTTTTCTTTTTGGTTCTGTCTCTTCAGGCATGTGACCCAGGAGACAAGCCCATCTTCTTATCAGCAGAATATGTGAACGAACCTTTCCGAGTCCAAAGGGCAATGAGTGTGGTCAGTATTATGACCTCAGTCATCGAAGGTGAGTTGTGATCCTCCGGATAGCTGTCCTCTGTGCTAGTGTTTTGAGATCCTGAATATGCCTCCTCCCCATTGTGGTCTGCTCCTTTTACCCGTGTGTGTGTGTGTGTGTGTGTGTGTGTGTGTGTGTGTGTGTGTGTGTGTGTGTTTGGGAGAGGGTGTAGTAGAGTTGCTCTTTTAATATTTTTGTGTTGGTACTGGGACTAGAACTCAGGGCCTTCTCATTCTTGTTTAGCTTTTTTTTGCTCAAAGCTGATGCTCTACCCCTTGAGCCACAGATCCACTTCCAGCTCTTTTTGTGTGTGGGGGTGGGGGGGTTCATTGGAGAAAAGAGTCTCATAGACTTTCCTGCCTGGGCTGGCTTTGAACCCCAGTCCTCAGTTCTTAGGATTACAGGCATAAGCCACTAGTGCTGAGCAATTGTGACAGCTTTCCTGCCCCCCGCCCAGTGACAGAGCTAAAGGGATTCAGCAAGGAGGGGTGACCAAGGGGATCTGGGGTACTGAGGCAAGATGTTCATTAAGCCCAGTGATGTGTTATTGATAGAAGGAGACCTGGGCCCTGAGCTGGGGATGGGGGGGGGGCGTGAAATCCAAGATGACATGTGATTGACAGCTGTCACTCACCCCCCGCTGTATGACAGAGCTGGAGGAGTCAGAGCAGAGGTGTCTGCCCTGTCTGATCAACTTGGCTCAGAAGTACCTGATCTGGGAGTGTTGTCCCACCTGGCTGAGGCTCAAGACGCTGCTCTTCGAGCTGGTGACGGACCCCTTTGCCGAGCTCACCATCACCCTGTGTATTGTGGTGAACACAGTCTTCATGGCCATGGAGCACCACGGCATGAGCAGCGCGTTCGAGTCCATGCTGCAGACGGGCAACATTGTGAGTGAGCCAGAGGGCAGCACTGCCAGTGCCGACCCGGGCAGGGCAGGGCCAGGGGCCGTGGTAGGCCACGCCTTATCAACCACCGGCTGATCTCATTGGCTGAGGTCTTAGCCTCATCAGGAATGGGCTGATCTCATTGGCTGAGTGGTGGCCACACCTTCTCAGGGGTGTATGGCTCTCAATGGCTGAGTGGTGGCCACACCTTCCCAGGAGCGTATGGCTCTCATTGGCTGAGTGGTGGCCACACCTTCTCAGGGGCGTATGGCTCTCATTGGCTGAGTGCTTAGCCGCCTCAGGAATGCATTGCTCTCATTGGCTGAGGGCAAAGTGACCCGATGGAAAATGTGGAACAGGGCTCAGGTTGCCTTCCTTAGGATGTACAAGCAAATGAGAGGGAGAAGAGGGATGGGGAGGGAGAGAAAGAGCGAACACTGAGCTAGGTATAGCTAGTTGAACATTACAGACGTTATTACTGTCCCTTGAATTCTCAGGAATCTGTGAGGTTTTTCTCTACAGTGAACCAGCAAAAAGCTAGACATGGAGCTGTGGCTCAAGTGGTAGAATGCCAGCCTTGAGTGAAAAAGCTAAGGGGCTGGGCCTTGAGTTCAAACCCCAAGACTAGGAAAAATATAGATAGATAGATGGATTTGCTGTGTTTTGGTTTGGTTTTGTGCCTATCCTGGAGCTTGAACTCAGGGCCTGAGCACTGTCCCTGAGTTATTTTCCCCTCCAGGCTCAATTTTACCAGTTGAGCCCCACCTCCACTTCTGGTTTTCTGCTGGTGCATTGGAGATCAGAGTCTTACAGATTTTCCTGCCTGGGCTGGCTTTGAACCATGATCCTCAGATCTCAGCCTCTTGAGTAGCTGGGTTGACAGACATGAGCCAGTGGTGCCCAGCGTTATATATATTTGTTAAGGAAGATCAATAGAGCCAGCAATGATCACCAATTTTCCATTCTCTTATCTCTACCTTTCAAGGGCTGGGATTTCAGGCATGTGCCACAGGCCCAGCCAGGTTTGCTTTTTGTAAATGAGACTTTCTGACAGTCTTCCCCCCCCCCACACACCCATGATTACTACTGATTTCAAAGGCCCTAAATGATAAAGTTGTGTTTCCATCCACAGGTTTTTACCACGTTTTTTACTGCTGAAATGGTCTTCAAAATCATCGCCTTTGACCCCTACTATTACTTTCAGAAGCGATGGAATATCTTCGACTGTGTCATTGTCACTGTGAGCTTGTCGGAGCTGGGAGTGGCCAAGAAGGGCAGTTTGTCTGTGCTTCGAACTTTCCGCTTGGTAACTTTTTCTCTTGGCCACCAGGAAACTCCCACTCAGATCCAAGGAAGCATTGTCCTGTTTTTGTTTTTGTTTGTCTGTGTGCCAGTCCTGGGGCTTGAACTCAGGGCCTGGGCACTGTCCCTGAGCTTTATTTGCTCAAGCGGGAACTCTACCACTTGAGCCATAACACCACTTCTGATTTTCTGGTGGTTCCTTGGAGATAAGAGTCTCAAAGTCTTCCTACTTAGGCTGGCTTTGAACCGTGAACCTCCAGATCTCAGCCTTCTGAGTAGCTAGGATGACAGGTGTGAGCCACCAGCACCTGGCTTTGTTCTTATTTTGTGTGTCATTGTTGGTTGTGGGGCTTGAACTCTGGGCCTGGGCGCTGTCCCTCAGCTCTTCAGCTCAAGGCGAGTGCCACTTGAGCCACAGAACCACTTGCAGTTTTCTGAGTGGTTTATTGGAGATAAGAGTCTCATGGACTTTTCCTGCCTGGGCTGGCTTTGAACCGTGATCCTCAGATCTCAGCCTCCTGAGTAGCTAGGATGACAGGTGTGAGCTACTGGTGCCTGACTGCTCTTATTTTTAATGGTCTGTATTATCTCCATTTCTGTCAGCTTTTGTCTTTCTGAATAACCATGTTTTCTACTTCATCTCATCATTTTTTTTTCATTAACCCAGTCAAGAATCATTAACTTAATAGTTTTCTTCCATGAATCAACTTTTAGGATGTTGCTCCCCACTCCGCCATTGATGTTTTCCCATTTCAATTAATCCTCCTTTTTATCTCAATTGTATCCGCTGTGCTACATCTTTTGTTCTTTTCTCATGTTTTACAATGCAATTTTTAGTCGATTTACTTTTCCAATATGTGCATTTGCCAACTTCTATTTACCCACTAATATTCTCATATGTCCACATTTCCGTCTTGTTTTGTGCTAAATATTTCCTAATGTCAATTTTTATTTATCCTGTGGTTAAAAGGCTAATTAGACTCAGGTGCTGGTGGCTCACACCTGTAATTCTTGCTACTCCAGAGGCTGAGATCTGAGACTCGTGGTTCAAAGCCAGTCTGGGCATGAAAACCCTGTGAGACTCTTCAATGAACCACCAAAAAGTTGCAAGTGGAGCTATGGTTTCAAATGGTAGAGCGCCTGCCTTGAGCACAAAAGCTCAGGGACAGTGCCCAGGCCCTGAGTTCAAGCCTCAGTACCAGCACACACATAAAAGACAACTTTGAAATACGATTCCTAATTTCAAAATATACATGGTATTTCTGTTTATCATTATAATATGGGCTTCTAATTTAGGTATTCTATAGTCAGAGAATACCCACTCTAGTGAGTTCTAAGACTTTGAAACTTTGCTAGTTTTTTTTGCTCATTGTATTGGAAATGTTCTGCTTGGGTGTGGTAGTTTACCCCTGTAATCCCAGCACCAAGGAGGCTGGTGAATTTCAGGCCAGCTGAACAATATGGCAAAAAACATTCCTCAAAAAATACTAGCCCGGCATTGGTGGCTCACGCCTGTCATCCTAGCTGCTCAGGAGGCCGAGATCTGAGGATCATGGTTCAAAGCCAGCTCAGGCAGAAAAGTCCCCAGAACTCTTATCTCCATTAAACTATTCAGAAAAGGTGGCTCAAGGGGTAGAGTGCCAGCCTTGATCAAAAGAAGCTCAGGGACAGTGCCCAGGCCCTCAGTTCAAGCTCCAGGACTGGCAAAAAAAAGAATATGATAATATCCTTTTTACCCACTGCTGTTTGTGCAATCTGGGCTATTTGGTGCAAATATGTTTTAAGTGAATCACATTTTCCCAGGAAAGGCAAGCTTTAATGATTGTAATAATGCATCTACCTCATCCATAGGTGTTTTCTGTTTAAAACAATAACAACAACCCTATTTTGCTCAACCGGACTTTCTTTTCTTTCTTTTTCTTTTTTGCTTTCTTTAGTTTACATTTTACCCAGTTTCTTTTTGTCCGTCCTTTTTTAAAATTTGTTTTATTTTTCGTTTTTAAAGTTCAAGACCAGGAATTGAACTTGGCACCTGAGTTTTTTGCTCACTGGTGGGTACTCTACTCACTGAACCATGTCTCCAACCCCTTACCCATCCTTTTACTTAGAAATTTAGTGTAGTCTTAGGATTAAAAAAAAAACCATTGGTCTCTTACAAATACTGTATAGTTAGATTTTGTATTCTTATTCAGTTCCCATGATCTAATCTTTAGCGTCTAGCTAACCTGCCTGATCCACCTATTTAGATATATGTCCATCATTACATCACTCAACCTCTCCTTTCCCAGCCCCTCCTCTATTTGCTTTGTTGGTGGTGGTGGTAGTGGTTTGTTGGGGGTTTTTTTTGGTGTGCCTGTGTTGGGGCTTGAACTCAGGGCCTAGGCGCTGAGCTCTTTTGCTCAAGGCTGGAGCTCTCCCACTTTGAGCCATCCATGGTGCCACTTCTGGCTTTTCTAGTGGTTCATTGGAGATCAGTCTCACGGGCTTTCCTGCCCGGGGCTGGCCTTGAACTGCGATCCTCCAGCTCCCAGCCTCCTGAGTCTTTGGGATGATGGGCATGAGCCACCAGACCCCAGCTCTACAGTGCAGCATTCACCCAGCGATGTCTTTTTTCTCCCTCACACAGCTCCGTGTGTTCAAGTTAGCCAAATCATGGCCGACCTTGAACACGCTCATCAAGATCATCGGGAACTCCGTAGGGGCGCTGGGGAATCTGACCTTCATCCTGGCAATCATCATCTTCATCTTCGCGCTGGTTGGCAAGCAGCTCCTGAGCGAGGGATACAGAAAAGAGTGCAAGCGCATTGCTGCCCAGGGGGAGCCGGGCCCCCGCTGGCACATGATGGATTTCTTCCACTCCTTCCTCATCATCTTCCGCATCCTCTGTGGGGAGTGGATCGAAAACATGTGGGCCTGCATGGAAGTGGGCGAGAAATACATCTGCCTCATCCTCTTCCTCACCGTGATGGTGCTGGGAAATCTGGTGGTGAGCTGTGACTCCATTTGGTCCGGGGTGGGGGGGGGGCCTGGCATGCCTGAGTCTCCCCAAAATGTCTTCAGCTTGCATGATTGTTTGTTTTTTTTTTTTAATTAAAAAAAATTTGATGCAAAGGTCCTGGGGCTTGAACTCAGGGCCCAGGCGCTGTCTCCTGAGCTTCTTTTGCCTATGGCTGGTGCTCTTCTGCTTGAGCCATGGCACCACTTTGGGTTTTTTGTGATTAAGTGAAAATAAGGAACGGGAGGCCCAGGGACTGAGTTCACGTCCCAGCTTGAACTGGTGGCTCACACCTGTCATCCCAGCTACTCAGGAGGCTGAGATCTGAGGATCGTGGTTCAAAGCCAGCCTGGGCAAGAAAGTCTGTGAGACTCTGATCTCCAATGAACCACCAGAAAACCGGAAGGGAAACTATGGCTCAAGTGGTAGAGCACCAGCCTTGAGCAAAAGAAGCTCAGAGACAGTGCCCGGGTCCTGAGTTCAAGCCCCATGACTGACAAATAATAATAATAATAATAGGGCTGGGAAGGTAGCTCAGTGGTAGAGCACTTGCCTTGCATGCCTGAGGCCCTGGGTTCGATTCCTCAGCACCACATAAGCAAAAAGAAAAAAGCCGGAAGTGGCGCTGTGGCGCAAGTGGTAGAGCGCTAGCCTTGAGCTGAAGAGCTGAGGGACAGCGCCCAGATCCAGAGTTCAGGCCCCACGACCGGACCCAAAACAAACAAAATAATAATAATAATAATACTTTAAAGATAACAACTGGGACCCAGGACTGGCCCAAGCCTTCTTTCTTGTCCCTCATGTCCCTTCTCTTAAAAAGCTCATCCTCCCCTCTTGTGGAGAGCATGGCCCTGAGTCTCATCACATGCTTCATGGCAGGGCATTCTGGAACGTTCTCTGGACCCCCTATCACATGTTCTCTGGGTATCTTGGAGAAACCCAACTTGTGGCTGTCCGGCTATCCCACACGGAGCAGGCAGGTCCAAGATGGCGCTCCACGGCTTGATGTCTCCCATCCACTCTTCCTCCTTCAGGTGCTCAACCTCTTCATCGCCCTCCTGCTCAATTCCTTCAGCGCTGACAACCTCGCGGCCCCCGAGGATGATGGAGAAGTGAACAACCTCCAGGTGGCCTTGGCACGGATTCAGACATTTGTCCATCGCATCAGGCGGGCCATTGGCAAATTCTTCAGGCGGGCCTGTCGTTGGGGCTGGCCCAAGGCACGATCCAAGATGGTGGTGAAACTTCCACTGTCCACCAACAGCTCCAAGATGGAGAACCCCCCTGCTGTGGACGGTGTGCTGGCCAGCTCGGACCTGCCCACGCTTGGAGATCCCAGGAACCAACACGGCGACTTCATCACCAACCCAAGTGTGTGGGTCTCCGTGCCCATCGCTGAGGGGGAGTCGGACCTGGAGGAAGAGGATGGTGAGCAGGAAGCTCAGAGTTCAGGACAGGAAATGAGTCCCAAGGAAGTGGAGGTAAGTGTTGGTTCCTCCCAGGGGGACAGCCGCCCGGAAGTGGGGGAGGGACTTCTGGGGAGTGACTCAGGGTAGGAAGGAAATTATGGGAGTGAGGGAGGGTGGGGAGAGAGAGACATTGTCCCCAGGATGCTCTTTGTTTGAAGAACCCCTGGGGAAAACGATCAGCAGTGAACTTGACATCCAGAAAGCTTGGAGATCATTGGCATTCATGGTGCCTCAGTAAGTCCTGGAAGAAAAAGAACTTCAAATTCCCCAGGCAGGGGAAAGGGGGGAGCCAGACTCAGAATTGCTTTTCCAACAGCTGTGCTTTAGATATGGCCCAGCCCAGGCTCTTAGACATCAGAGGTGAATTGTTTTATATGGAACAAATAAAAAATGGCATCCAAGGAAGGCATCATGGTCACATGACTCCCTGACAGAGCCTTTCCTGCTGTGGCATATCCTAGGAAAATGATATGATTTTCTATGTGCCCATGCTGTGGCTTGAACTCAGGGCCTCAAGCCCTCCCTTGGCACTTCCACCCCCCCCCCCCGCCCTTGAACTACTCCTCTTCTTCTGGCTCTGTGGTGGTTCATTGGAGATAAGTCCCCTGGATTTCCTCACCCAGGGCTGGCCTTGAACCTCCATCCTCAGATCTCAGCCTCCTGAGAAGCTAGGATGACAGGCAGGCGTGAGCCACACCGGTACCCGGCTGGACATTTCTTTTGGCATCAGAGAATCAAAGGCATCTTTCAGTGCTTTCCTGGCGTACATTTTCCCACTCCTCTGTGCAGTTGCTCACAGCTTTAAGCTGGGACCTCGGCCCCCAGGAACCTGTCCTGGGGCTTCAGGGCTTGGTGGCTCTGGGCCTTGTGGAGGGTGAGAGTTTCTGTGGGGCCTGTAGGACACGCGCAGCCTGGACAGATGCCAGGTGCTAAGTGGCGTCAGACAGCTGTGCTTGGAGTGCTCTCTCTCTTTCTCTCTCTCTCTCTCTCTCTCTCTCTGGTTCTTAATAGCTGTCCCTGAGCTTCTCGAAGCTGCTCTTATCGTCTGCCAGTTGCTGCATGCCTGTCTGAGTAGCAGCTGAAGGCAGGGCTTGCTCCTCCCCAGGATGGCGGCCTGCCCCACGGGGGCCATGCAGAGTTATGTTGGGTCCTGAGGGCTGGGCAGATGGTCAAGTTCATGACCAGTCTGACTTGCAGATGGGTTGCAGTCAGTGCTCATAGCTGATAACCGACGAAGCCGGCCGGCCTCTGCCAGAGAACTTATGAGTCGTAATCTATGGGGCCGTGGCCGTGGGGTGTATGCAGGGCAGTGTGAACTGGGGTCACACCGTCCCTCTGGACACTGGCAGGGTAACACAAGGCACAAGGAAGCGGACATGGGTGGTGTCAGGAAGAGGGTCCCGGGAGGGTGGGCGGATGAGCAGAGAGAGGAAGGGTGGGTGAGGGCGGTGCTGATGGTCAGTGTCCACATGGAGCTGGGTAATTTGAGGGGTGGGGGAGGGTGGAAGGGGGGACACTGACCAAGACACATTGCCTTGTACCCCGACATGTTGAACTGAGGCCCCCTTCCATACAATGACTTAAAGATAATTTTTTAAATTATATGTGGCTACATGTAATTCCTGAAATATTATATATAAATGTAATTCCAGAACTATTCATTATATATAATTGCATACATATAGGTAATTATATGACCATGCAAATATATAAGCATATAAGCATTTCAGGTTACATAAGTTTATTATATATGATATATAATATACAATATAATATATGATATATAATTTATAAATTAAATACATTTATATACTTTTAATTATAGTTAATTATATAATTATAGTTAATTATAACCATAATTATATTAGCTATCTACATTAGAAAATTACATAAATTATGTCATCTAAGTATATATTATATTGTTACATATATTATGTTACATATAATTATATACATACATTATATATTACATATTTTATATATAATATGTAATTTATTTACATAATTTAATATATACATATTTATGGACATAAACTATATATTATATGTAACTGTAATATATACTGTATAACTTATGTATATAAATATAATGTGTAATGTTATACATACTTATATATAAATATGTATTCAGTTATATATAGCAATTATAATTATTTACTAATAAATATAAATGTAGTATTTAAAACTTATTATATTACTTATAAATATGATGTATTCATTATGATTGAAATATCATTCTATTGCATATGATAATTATAATTATATATCCAATAATTACATGTGGTCATATATTATAAATATATAATATATGCATAAGCCTATAACACGCATATATGCTTATTGAACACCAATGAAGTCAACCTTTCCTTCTCAATTTTTGCAGTCAGGGAAAAATGTTCAGAGAGATTAAATAATTTGCCTCTGGTCACACAGCATTGAAGTCATGGAGCTAGGTGTTAAACACTAATTTACCTCGTTGGGGAGTCTTTATGCTTATTTCATGCAAATTATAGATAGATGTGTGTGTGTGTGTGTGTGTCTGATGAGTTGCATAAATAAGATCCTTGGCTCTAGTCTTGTGCAAAAGCTCCTCAGCTCTGGAAGTGACCAGCTCCAATTGGCTCAGACACCTAAGCTGGGACTCTCTTTCACTGGCAGGAGCAACAGCAGCAATTTGGGAGCCAAGAGGATCACCTGGCCTGTAGGAGCCCAGGGTCTGGGTCATCCTTTGAGGATCTCGGCCCATTCCCGGGGGGCAAATGGACAGACAAGGCTGTTCCTCAGGTCCCTGCTGAGGTAAGTGGGTTGGACAATAAAGGATGGACCCCAGAGAGAATATTCCAGAATAAAACCCAACCAAGTAGCCTCACTTCACATGCTGGGCCTTTTTCACTCCCTTCCAATGTTCCATACAACATTGACAGACCCTCCTCAAGCTGTGGGTCCTGGAGCCAGTTCCCCAGCCTCTCTGAGCCTTTGCTTCTTTGCCTGTACAGCCGCAGAGGGTGTTGGGCCCAGTAGTGCACGCCTGTAATACCAGCTGTTCGGGAGGCCGAGATAGCAGGATCTCCCTTCAAATCCAGTTCGAGATGGGAAAATCCATTAAGGCTCTTCCTTCTAACTCACCACCCAAATGCCAGATGTGGAGGTGTGGCTCAAGAGGTAGAGCACCTGCTTTGAGCCCAAAGAGCCTGATCAGAGACAGCTCCCAGGTCCTGAGTTCAAGTCCCGGGGCTGACCCAAAAAGTATACTATCTTTTCTAGCCACTGTAATCGATTTGATTTTTTTTAGTTTCTCTTATTGCTATTATAAAGTAATGGACAGCGGGGTGACAGTCCCAGAAGTCAGGAAACAAGCACATTTCCTCTTGGACCATGTCCCCACCCACAAGGTATAGAGTTCATTCTCCACATCCCGTCCAGTGAAGACCAGGGCTGCCTCTGTTCACCCTCCATAACCCCCCCCCCCATTTCTGTGCCCCGTAGGAAAGAGGACATGGTGTCGGGTGTCTCTCTGAGCCTGGCTGACGTCTCCTCACACCACTTGTGCTAGGTCCATCCAGTTCCCTGCAGATGACGTAGTGTTATTCTCTCTGGTGGCTCTGTGAGATTCCATGACGGGTCAGAATTTCACTTGACACCCGGCCCGTGGAGTGTGTGGAGCTGGCGTGAAGGGCCAGAGATAAGGCAGACACCATCCATTCCCGGAATTATCTGGGTCCTCCCGTGTGAGGAATGCCAGCTCAGAGCTGTCCACCCACCACTGCCTGCAAGCCCAGCCCTGGCCAGCCACGGGCCGTGAGGGAGATGAAGGCCACAGGGACGCCCACCCTTGGGTGCAGGAGGCCTATCTCCTTGAACTTAGGGCCTGGGCATTGTCCCTCAGCTCTTCAGCTCAAGGCTGGTGCTTTACCACTTGAGCCACAGCGCCACTTTGGAATTTCTGGTGGTTCATTGGAGGTGTGAGTCTCACGGACTTTCCTGCCCCAGGCTGGCTTTGAACTGTGATCCTCAGATCTCAGCCTCCTGAGTTGCTAGGATGACAGGCGTGAGGTGCTGGTGCTCACTTGGCTTGTATGTGGGGTCTTACTCCTTGGCTAGGCCTGCGTGGCTGGAATGGCAGGCACCTGCTCCTGAACCCAGCTAGTGGTTGAGGTAGAGTCTCCTGAATTCTCCCTCCTTTAGGCTAGCCTGGGAATCACTGTGACCCCCCCCCCCCCCCATCCTGTCTCAGTTTTCTCTCTGCCTCCCAAGTCGCTGGGATTACAAGCTTGACCTACCACACCTGGCTGCCGTTTCTTGTATATTCTCTTCCTCCCTCCTCCGTGTTTGCAGGACACAGTCCCTGGGTGTTGGTTTTTGGTGGTTGTCTTGTGGGTTGTTTTCTATTGTTACTGTTGTTGTTGTTTCCTGACCGCCGTGGTCCCTCGGGCAGGCTGGGAATTGTCTATTGGTGACCGATGGGGACCCACTCTGCCATTTGCATCCATTAAGCCCAGCCCTGGGGTTTACTCATGGAAGAGTGGCTTGCACTCCTAATTGACGTTCTTCTGGAAACATTAAGGGGCTGTGGCTGGCCGGAGGAGCCAGGCCCGACCCAGGGCACAGCGCCTGTTAAATGTTCACACACACCCCAGCCTGAGCTTGTCCTTAATGGGTATAATCACAGGGCCTCAGCTCACCTGCCAGGGCTCCCATTGGAGGAGCAGCTTCCCTCCGGGCCCGGCCCAGCTGAGGGGTCCCCCAAAGCAGAAGTGCAGGTGTCCCAGGCCTGGGACCTGAGGATATGGGTCCTGCTTCCTCCCCTTCTTCCTCTTTCCCCTTCTCTTCTTCCTCCTTCCTCCCCCTCTTCTTCCTCTTCTGCTCTTCCTCTTCCTCCCCTCCTTCTTCTCTTTCTCTTCCTCCCCCTCTTCCTCCCTCTTCTCTCCCCCAGGAGCCTTGGGCTCTCACTCAGCTTCTCTGCTCAGCATTGGCACTCTACTCCTCAAGCCATACCCTCATTTTCTTTGAGGTGATCCACGGGAGATAAGAGTCTCTTGGATTTGTCCTGCCTGGGCTGGCTTTGAACCATGATCCTCCCGATCTCAGCCTTCCTTGTATCTAGGTGATCTTGGGGGGTCCAGGCCTGTCCAGGCCTCCCCCCTCCCCAGCCCCCCATCCTCACACCCGCCCACAGCTCATGTCCCCTGACCCCAGGCTCTGACCCACAGGAGGCGGATGACGTGAGCAGCTCGGAGGGTAGCACGGTGGACTGTGTGGACCCTGAGGAGATCCTGAGGAAGATTCCTGAGCTGGCCAACGACCTGCAGAAGCCGGAGGACTGCTTCCCGGAAGGTAGAGGAGGCCACTGCAGGTCTCACATGCGTGGTGTGGGCACACGTGTGCCCGGCTTCAGGTCGGTGCATACCTCTGTGACCAGGCAGTCAAACCCCGGGCCTAGGCCCAGGAAGGCTTTGGGGTTAAAGGTGTCCCAACCCGGTGCCTCTCTGAGGCTCACGGCCTTGGAAGATGGATGCATTAGATGTCCGTCCTCAGCATCCCTGGCCAGAACCCTCACTGTGAATTTGTGTGTTGTGTGTGCCAGTCCTGGTGTGCGCGTATGCGTGTGTGCATGTGCTGGTCCCGGGGCCTGAACTGTCCTTGAGCTCTTTAGTGTGTGTGTGTGTGTATGTCCATCCTGGGGCTTGAACTCAGGGCGCTGTCCCTGAGCTCTTGTGCTCAAGGCTGGCACTCTACCACTTGAGCCACAGCGCCACTTGAGGCACACTTCCGGTCTTCTGGTGGTTCATTGGAGATCAGAGTCTCACAGATTTTCCTGCCCCGGCTGGATCCTCAGCTCTCAGCCTCCTGAGTGGCTGGGGTAACAGGCGTGTGCCGCCTGAGCCCCATGACTGGTGTGAGTGGGAAGGGCAGTGGCAGGAGGATATTCTCTATTCCCAGAAGGAATCTCCCTGCTGGGTGATTTCCTGGCAGGGCTGGAGTGGAAAAAGAAAATTAAAACAGAAAAGATCTCAAGAGATCCAATGAACCACAAAAATCCAAAGTGGTGCTGTGGCTCAAGTGGTATAGTGCCAGCCTTGAGCAAAAGAGCTCAGGGACAGCACCCAGGTCCTGAGTTCAAGCCCCAGATCTGACAGGCACACGCGCGCGCGCACACACACACACACACACATGCACACACGTGCGCGCGCGCTCAGGAACTGACTCCTCACCTCTCCCTGCAGGCTGTGTGCGGCGCTGCTGCCCGGGCCTCCCCGCAGACCCCGCCCGCTGCCCGTGGGCCTGGCAGGTGCGCAGAACCTGCTTCCACATCGTGGAGCACAGCTGGTTCGAGAGCTTCATCATCTTCATGATCCTGCTCAGCAGTGGGGCCCTGGTGAGGCCTGGCATGGCCCCACCACCTCCCTCCCAATGCAAACCTCCAGGATCCACGCATGGAGGCCGGGGCTGGAGCAGCGGGCTTGCCCTGAGACCCAGGCCCACCGTCCTCCACGCAGGCCAGGAAGGGCAGCCTGGGTCTGCTCCCAACTACTCCCATCCGCTCCGCTCCGCTCCGCTCTGCTCCGCAGCGGGGCCTGGGCGGCCCTGCCGCCGCCTCCCTCCCCACGCAAACCTCCCCTGGGCCTTGCTGTCCCCTCGAGCCCTGTCCCCCTTGGGCCTGGCTGTCCCCCCTCCCCTGTCCCTCTCCCAGGTGGACACTCGGGTCCTGCACAGCCACTGCCCTCCAGAGAGCCTAACAGACTTGCACTGAATTTAGTCTTCTCTATGCTTTTGAGTGCTTTTAATAATAATAATAATATGAACTTTCCCTTGACCAAAATCAGAGGCAAAAAATAAAAAGCCTTCGAAATGATAGAAAAAGGTAAAAGGAAACAAAAAATTAAAAATATCATCCCTTTGTCTAGCACGCCACAGAAACTCATGTGGAAAAACATTCTGGAATATATTCTTGCTTGCTTTCTTATTGGTAGAAGATATACAGAGTATTGGATATAGATGTGATGTATTTTATATTATATATTAGAACATATATTTACATATATGTTATTCCTATATCTGTCTATAATATGGATATATTAATATATAACACAGATATATATATTAATTATATATTTTTCTTTTTAAAATTTTTTTTTTTTGGGTCCGGTTGTTGGGCCTGAACTCTGGGCCTGGGCGCTGTCCCTCAGCTCTTCAGCTCAAGGCTAGCACTCTACCACTTGAGCCACAGCGCCACTTCTGGCTTTTTTTCTTTTTGCTTATGTGGTGCTGAGGAATCGAACCCAGGGCCTCAGGCATGCAAGGCTCTACCACTGAGCCACCTTCCCAGCCCCCACAGATATATATTATAAAATATTATTAGGTATGTATTTACCTATATAATACATAGATTAGATATACATTATAAGATATCTGTCTATATTATACATGTATATTCATATATAACACATATATTAGCTATATATTATATTATTATTGGATATATCTACGTATCTACCTAGAATGGGCTCAGCTCTTAGCTGGCACATACATACAGATATGTAACTATGTTTATATATTATGTATTATATTTGTATCTATATAATAGTATATGTGTGTATATATATCTATAATAGTGTGTATGTGTGTATATACCTGGAAGCCGGGTGCCAGTGGCTCATGCCTGTAATCCTAGCTACTCAGGAAGCTGAGATTTGAAGATCTAGGTTTAAAGCCAGCCCAGGCAGAAAAGTCCATGAGACTCTTACCTCCAATTAACCACCAAAATGCTGGACATAAACCTTTGGCTCATATGGTACAGCACCAGCCTTCAGTAAGAGCTAAAAGACAACACCCAGGCCTTGAGTTCAAGCCCTAATACTGGTGCGCGCGCATGCGTGCGCGCACACACACACACACACACACACACACACACACACACACAAAATCTGGGCAGTTTGTAATTTCTCAATATGTTTTTCTCTAGAAAATATTCACATGTATCTCATTTAATAGCTACAATATATTCCAGGATAGAAATGTGCCATAATTTATTCAAGCAATTCCCATATTTACTTTGTGTGTGTGTGTGTGTGTGTGTGTGTGTGTGTGTGTGTGTGTGTGTGTGTTTGCCAGTACTAGACCTGGGCTCTGTACCTAAGATTTTTTTTTGTTCAAGACTGGTGCTCTACCACTCAAACCACAGCTCCACTTCTGACTTTTTGGTGTTTAACTGGATATCAAAAAGTCCCACAGATTTTTCCTGCCCAGGCTGGCTTCGAACCACAATCCTCAGAGCTCAGCCTCCAGAATAGCTAGGATGACAGGCACAAGCCACTGGTGCCCAACACAAGTAAATCTACTTTTACATTTCCCTTCCCTTGATTACCAGTGATCTAGAACCTTCTTTCTTCTAGAGTTTTCTGGGTGACTCTTACTTTTTCCCCATTCTTTTTTGCATTTTGTGAATTACCTGAAGACATCCTTTGATAGTGTTTATTATTACTTCTCAAACGAAGCCACTTTGGCTCATACCCAAAAATCCAATTGGAGAAAGTCTCCTTGCTCGGATTGCATTTAGCAAACCCTGTACAATATCCGAGACTATCCACGCTTCTGTTCCCTATAATAAAGTCTTGGCTTATGGCCCACCAAAGTTTTCCCACTCTCCACCTTGTCTCCCCAGGGCGGAGAAAAGAAAAGCACTGAGCAAGCTGGCTGATAGAGACACTCTCCCCAAGACTGCAGGCAGAGCTGGAGGGGGCTCCTGGCCTGGAGTGTCCATCTGTCCATCTGTCTGTCCATCCGTCAAGGCAGCTTGCTCTTCTCTCCTCTCCTCCAGGCCTTTGAAGACTGCCACCTGGACCAGAAGCCAGTGGTGAAGGCTTTATTGGAATACACGGACCGCATGTTCACCTTCATCTTCGTGTTTGAGATGCTGCTCAAATGGGTGGCCTATGGCTTTAAGAAATATTTCACCAATGCGTGGTGCTGGCTGGATTTTCTCATTGTTAATGTGAGTGGCTCTGGGTAGAGCAGCCCCATTGGGTCACCATTGTTGATGTATGACTGGATTCATTTTATTTTATTTTATATTTTTGTCAGTCGTGGGGCTTGAACTCAGGGCCTGGGCACTGTCCCTGAGCTTCTTTTGCTCAAGGCTGGTGCTCTACCACTTGAACCGTAGCGCCACTTCTGGTTTTCTGGTGGTTTATTGGAGATAGGAGTCTCATGGACTTTTCTGCTGGGCTGGCTTTGAACCGTGATCCTCAGATCTCAGCCGCCTGAGTAGCTGGGAAGACAGGTGTGAACCACCAGCACCTAGTTTAATGACTGTTTAGTGTCCAGGAAGATCCTTAAGGGTATATATATATATATATATATATATATATAATTTTATTGTTATGTTAAAGGTGATGTACAGAGGGGTAACAGTTATATGAGTCAGGGAAAGAGTACATTTCTTTGTAGACAATGTCACCCTTGAAAATATTAAGAAAGAAAGAAGGAAGGAAGGAAGAAAGGAAGGAAGGAGGGAAGGAAGGAAGGAGGGAAGGAAGGAAGGAAGGAAGAAGGGAAGGAAGGCAACCCAGTACCTGTCATGCTAATTTCTCAGGAGGCTGAGATCTGAGGATTATGGTTCAAAGCCAGCCCGGGCAGGGAAGTCCATGAGACTCTCATCTCCAACAAACCATCAGAAAACCAGAAGTGGTGCTGTGTGGTTCAAGTGGTAGAGCGCCAGCCTTTGAGCAAAAGAAGCTCAGGGACAGCTCCCAGGCCCCGAGTTCAAGCCCCAGGAATGACAAAAAGAAAACAAAAAGAGATAGAAATGGGAGCTGAGTGAAAGGGTCTCTTCCTTTCCCTGGGCTGTTTCTCGAATCCTGTGCTTGTGTTCTCTGCCTGCCCCCAGATCTCACTGGTGAGCCTCATAGCGAAGATCTTAAAATCCGATGTCCGATCCATCAAGGCCCTGAGGACTCTCCGTGCCCTGCGGCCCTTGCGGGCTCTGTCTCGATTTGAGGGCATGCGGGTAATACCCAGCTCGTACCTTCTCTGCTTGGCAACCTTTAGTACCTCAGTGTGTGCCAGACCTGGGGTTTGAACTCAAGACCTAGACCTAGGCGCTGTCCCTGAGCTTTGGTGCTCAAGGCTGGCGCTCTCCCACTTGAGCCACAGCGCCACTTCTGCTGTTTTTTGCTGGCTTGTTGGAGATGAGAATCTCACAGATTTTCACCTCACCTAGTCTCAGCCTTGCTGCTTCCTGACGTTGCCAACTAGCTGAGGTTCCATCCTCATCTTCACCATCCTGGGTATCTTGTGTCTCCGTCTCCTGAGCGCTGACTCCCATTTTCATCATCAAGAACACCTTGAGTGCTGGGAAGGTGGCTCAGTGGTAGAGCGCTTGTCTTGCATGCATGAGGCCCTGGGTTCGATTCCTCAGCACCACATAAGCAGGAAAAAAAAATCCAGAAGTGGCGCTGTGGCTCAAGTGGTAGAGTGCTAGCCTTGAGCTGAAGAGCTGAGGGACAGCGCCCAGGTCCAGAGTTCAGGTCCCACAACTGGACCCCCCCCCCCAAAAAAAAGAACACTTTGAGTTCTCCATCTTTCCATGAGCACAAATGCGCTTCTGCATGTGCGTGTGCATGCATGCATGCTGCACACACACCAGCACTGGAGTTTGAACTCAGGGCCTTCCCTTCCTGCTTAGATTTCATTTATTCCCTCAAGGCTGATGCTCTACCACTTGAGCCACCGCTCTGCTTCTGGCATTTTGCTGGTTCATGGGAGATCAGAGTCTCACGGACTCTCCTTGTCCCCCACCCCCACCCCGGGCTGGCTTGGAACTGTGATCCTCCAGATCTCAGCCTCCAGCGTCACTGGGTTGACAGGCGTGAGGCACGGCACGTGACAGGGGTGGCAGATGTGAGGCTGCAGGTGGTTTTCTCCATCCCTCCCCTTAGGTGGTGGTGGACGCGCTGGTGGGCGCCATTCCCTCCATCATGAATGTCCTGCTCGTCTGCCTCATCTTCTGGCTCATCTTCAGCATCATGGGCGTGAACCTGTTCGCAGGCAAGTTCGGCCGCTGCGTCAAGCAGACAGACAATGGATTCTTGCTGGTGAATTTGTCGACTGTGGACAACCTGTCCGATTGTCGGGAAAAGAACGACACTGGCCACTTGTTCTGGGTCAACGTGAAGGTCAACTTTGACAACGTAGCCATGGGCTATCTCGCACTCCTACAGGTGGTGAGTCGCCCAGGTGGCCGCTGGATCTCCTCCTGGGCCCTGCAATGGGTGGAGAACCCTGATACTCACCCACAGGGGCACAGATGGAGTGGAGGGCCAGCACTGCATTAGAGGTGAGGTCCATCTCCAGGACTACAGGCAGCACAACTTAGCTAGGCAATCTTGCTGGAGAGTGTGGTGTCACAGGGGCTACATTGAGATAAGTCAGAACTGCACCAACAGGAGATAAGGCTGGCACCAGTCGCCTGAGCTACTCGGGAGGCTGCGATCTGGAGGATTGCGGTTCAAAGCCAGCCTGGGCAGGAAAGTCTGTAAGACTCTCATCTCCAATGAACCACCAGAAAACCAGAAGTGGCGCTGTGGCTCAAGTGGTAGAGCGCCAGCCGAGCAAAAGAAGCTCAGGGACGGCATGCAGGCCATGAGTTCAAGCCCCAGGACTGGCAAAAGAGGGAAGGAAGGAAGGAAGGAGGGAAGGAAGGAGGGAAGGAAGGAAGGAAGGAAAGAAGGAAAGAAGGAAGAAGGGAAGGAAGAAGGGAGGGAAGGAAGGAGGGAAGAAAGGAAGGAAGGAAGGAGGGAAGGAAGGAAGGAAAGAAGGAAGGAAGGAAGGAGGGAAGGAAGGAGAAATGGAAGGAAGGAGGGAAGGAAGGAGGGAAGAAAGGAAGGAAGGAAGGAGGGAAGGAAGGAAGGAAAGAAGGAAGGAAGGAAGGAGGGAAGGAAGGAGAAATGGAAGGAAGGAGGGAAGGAAGGGAGGGAGGAAGGAGGGAAGGAAGGAAGGGAGGGAAAGAAGGAAGGGAAGGAGGGAGGGAGGGAGGGAAGGAAGGAAGGGAGGGAAGGAAGGAAGGGAGGGAGGGAGAGAGGAAGGAAGGAAGGCAGGCAGGCAAGAAAGAAAGAAGAGAGAGAGCGAGAAAGAGAGAGAGAAAGACTTAATCAAGAACACCAAATGCCTTTGTTTGCAGTTCATCCCACAGCTAAGTATCTAGGTGCCCCGCTCCTTGCCACATTCTAGAAAGTTCCATATCTTTAATAACATTCTATTCTGCTCCGTTTGTTTCATGTGCCTTTCCTGGGGCTCAGCACCTTGCCCTTAAGCCTTCTGTCACTCAAGGCTGGTGCTCTACCCTTTGAACCACGGCACCACTTCCCTCCAATATTTTTTGGTGGCCCCTTACCTGAACCATGATCCTCCAGATCTCAACCTCCTGCGTTACCTAGGCGTGAGCCACATTGGGGCGGCTTTCCTTCTGCATGAGGTACAAACCAGCTCACCCAGTCCTTCTCCAGTCTCGTTGCCACGAGCACCCATGGAAGGTCCAGTATGGATGGCTATGGGCCCTGAGTGTTCTCTGTTCCTTGTCTCCAGGCAACTTTCAAAGGGTGGATGGACATCATGTATGCAGCCGTTGATTCTCGGGATGTGAGTCTTTGTTCACCGTGCCTGCATCCCACCTTCCCTCTGTCTGTCCAACCTGTGTTATTCTGCACCTGAGCTAGAATGAACACAGGGACCAGTCACCTGCCTTCCGCTGCCAAAATGTCTGTCTGCTTTTCTTTACTTTTTAGTCCTATTTTTATTATTTATTTTGCTCGGTCGTGGGGCTTGAACTCATGGTCTGGGCGCTGTCCCTGAGCTTCTTTTGCTCGGCTGGTGCTCTACCACTTGAGCCACAGCGCCACTTCCAGTTTTTTTTTTTGTGGCTCATTGGAGATGAGAGTCTCATGGATTTTCCTGCCCTGGGCTGGCTTTGTACTACAGTCCTCCAGATCTCAGCCTCCCAAGTAGCTGGGATGACAGGTGTGAGCCATGGGTGCCTTGGCAACTTGCCTGGTCTTTAACATCAGTTTCCTACCCATCCACCTTCTCCCTGTGTTCATCCTTCTATGGTCACAGGTGGACAGCCAGCCCTCGTGGGAGTACAATGTGTATATGTATTTGTACTTCGTCATCTTCATCATCTTCGGTGGCTTCTTCACACTGAATCTCTTTGTTGGGGTCATCATCGACAACTTCAATCAACAGAAGAAAAAGATAAGTGGAACATGTACCTGTGTGTGTGTGTGTGTGTGTGTGTGTGTGTGTGTGTGTGTGTGTGTGTGTGTTTGTGCATGCATGCATGTCCATCCTGGGGCTTGAACTCAGAGCCTGGGCGCTGTCCCTGAGCTCTTTCACTCAAGGCTAGCACTCTACCACTTTGAGCTATAGCTCCACTTCTGGTTTTCTGGTGGTTCGTTGGAAATAAGAGGCTCACCGACTTTCCTGCCCAGGCTGGTTTTGAACCACAATCCTCTATATCTCAGCCTTCTGAGTAGCTAGGATGATGGATGCACCCAGTAGGGTATATATCTTCTCCTTGAGCCCTACTCATAAATCTTTTCCCTGGTCCATCCTACCATCTAGGCAGCCTCTCTGAGCTCCTAGGAAATTAAAAGCCCACTTTGCTTTATAAAGAGATCCAAGCAGAAAGTCAATCCCAGATGGTCAAGACCAATCCACTGCTCTGTCATTGATTGTTAACACCTAGGCAAGATTCTCCATGCTCCTAGGCTTGGTGTAACATTTTCATTTTTATTTTTTAGGAGGGGGGAGTGGGAGAAAGAAGGTTAAAATGATTCTTAAGCTCTAATAACAGCCATGTGTCCCCTCATACCTAGGGGGCCAGGATATCTTCATGACAGAGGAACAGAAGAAATATTATAATGCCATGAAAAAGCTGGGATCCAAAAAACCCCAGAAACCCATTCCTCGGCCCCTGGTGAGTCCCCCCCCCAACCCCAACCCCTCATTTTCCTTCTAGAAGCATGCACCTAGGCCTGGACTGGAAAGGGGGAAGATCTGGCTGAGGGGAGGAGATTGGGGTTGAGTCTGAAGAGGGGTTCAAGAACAGAAAGGTTTATAAGAAGCATTGCAGGGGGCTGGGAAGGTGGAAGGTGGAAGGTGGAAGGTGGTAGAGCGCTTGCCTTGCATGCCTGAGGCCCTGGGTTCGATTCCTCAGCACCACATAAGCAAAAAGAAAAAAAGCCAGAAGTGGCGCTGTGGCTCAAGTGGTAGAGTGCTAGCCTTGAGCTGAAGAGCTGAGGGACAGTGCCCAGACCCAGAGTTCAGGCCCCACGACCGGACTCCCCCCCACAAAAAAAGAAGCAGTGCAGGTCTTTTTTGGTGGAAATTGCTCTACTACGTGCTTCAGTTTGGGGGAGTGGTAGGAACTACAGCAATTTTAGGGTGTAAGTCCAAGAGTAGAAGCAGATTATATGGATGGTAGGTCCCAAGAGAAGAATGAAACATTTGTGTAATTCTTTTTTTAAAAGAAGTTTTCTGCCAGGCACCGATGGTTCATGCCTATCATCCCAGCTCCTCAGGAGGCTGAGATCTGAGGATCATGGTTCAAAGCCAGCCTCAGGCAGGAAAGTCTGTGAGATTCTTATTTCCCATGAACCACCAGAAAACTGGAAGTGGCGCTGTGGCTCAAGTGGTAGAGTGCTTGCTTTGAGTGAAAAAAGCCTAGCTAGAGTGAGAAAGATATGAGTGGAAATCTCAGGACTGGTGACACACACATACTCACACACACACATACACACACACACACAATACACACACACACACACACACAGAGCAAAAAAGAAAACAGGGTGGGGGAGAGGTTCTAAAGGACAACAGCCACTAACTAAACGTGAATTAATTCATTAATCAATTAATTAATGGATTAATAGATGAACCCACCGATGGCTTAATTAGTTCATTAATGGACTAATTGATGAACCCACTAATTGATTAATCATTTATTAATTAATTAATTAGTTAATTAATTGATTAACAATTGATTATTTGATTAGAGGATGGATTCATTAGCTAGTTGACTCATTACTGGATTGGTTAGTTAAATGATCAATGAATTAGTCAATTGAGGGATTCGTTAATTGGTGGGTTAATTAATTAATTGGTAGATTAATTTGTGGGTTGATTAGTTGATTGGTAGATTGATTAGGTGATCTGTCAAGTCGTGGGTTGGCTGGTGGGTTAATTGGTCCATTAGTTTGCTCGTTAGTGGATTGATTTGTTAATTCATCGATTAGTTGGAAGTGAGATGCTGGTGGCTGGGCTGTGGCTTCTTCCCAAACGTGGAGCAGACAGGAAAGGAGAAAGGAGGAATGTGAGCGACTCCTGGGGGGCCAGCTCAGCCTTTTTCGGATGTTTGGCCTTCTGAGCACTCCAGATCTCTGGGAGGCCCTGACCTCCACCCCAACCTCCTCTCCCTAGAACAAGTACCAAGCCTTCGCCTTCGACGTGGTGACCAAGCAGGCGTTCGACGTGAGCATCATGGCGCTCATCTGCCTCAACATGGTGACCATGATGGTGGAGACGGACGACCAGAGTGAGGAGAAGACCCGGATCCTGGGCAGGATCAACCAGTTCTTCGTGGCGGTGTTTGCGGCCGAGTGCGTCCTGAAAATGTTTGCTTTGCGGCAGTATTACTTCACCAACGGCTGGAACGTGTTCGACCTCATCGTCGTTCTGCTCTCCATCGGGAGTAAGGAAGAGAGACAGGCCTGGTGGCCTCACTGGAGGGAGTCTCTGGCTGCTCTACCAACACTTGAGGGCCAGCCAAGTCTCCTTTTCCTATGTGCCGGTAGTGGGGCTCGAACTCAGGGCCCTTGGCATTTTTTTTAACTCAAGGCTGGCGCTCCTCCACTCCAGCCACACTTCCCTTCCAGCTTTGGGCTAGTTCATTGGAGATAAGAGTGGCTTGACATTTGTCTGCCCAAGCTGGCTTTGAACTGCTGGTCCTCAGATCTCAGCCTCCTCACTAGCTAGGCAGGAGAGTTAGGTGCCTGACCTAACGCTCTCTTTCTTTTTTTGTGCCAGCCCTGAGGCTTGAACTCAATGCCTGGGCATGGTCCCTAAGCTTTTGTGGTCAAGGCTAGTGCCCTACCACTTGAACCACAGCTCCACTTCTGACTTTTGGGGATGCTTAATTGGAAATTAAAGTCTCACTGACTTTCTTGCCCAGGCTGATTTCAAACTGTGACCCTCAGATCTTAGCCTCTTGGGTAGCTAGGAGAATGGGTATGAGCTACTGCTCCTAGTTCTGTGTGTGTTTGTTTTTTTTAAAGAAGAGCCTATTGTTCGCAACCTCCAAAAAGTATCTTAAAAGATTTCTGCAGCCATGTACCGGTGGCTCATGTCTGTCATCCCAGCTACTCAAGAGGCTGAGATCTGAGGATCACAGTTCGAAGCCAGCTGGGGCAGGAAAGACGATGAGACTCTTCTCTCCAATGAATCACAGAAAACCAGAAGTGGTATCATGTATGGCTCCAAATGGAAGAGCGCCAGCCTTGAGCACAAAGAAGCTCAGGGACAGTGCCCAGGCCTTGAGTTCAAGACTCAGGACTGGCAAAATAAATCAATAAGTAAAAATTCCACTGGAACATAGACGTTCTTTATCTTTCCAGCCTTTTTTTTCATCATTAGGGTGTAAGGCTATGACTGACCCTGAAAAGCCCCTCGCTTGGCCCTGGCCCCCCCAATTCAAACACAGCTGGGAATGAAAGAAACCAATTAAAGCCATTATTCAGCCAGCTGGCCATTCAAAGCCATCTTGCTTTAGCTGCCATGTGGCTCCATTTCTAGGCCCCCTCTTATAATTAAGACCCGGCTGTGTATAATTATCTAGGGGGGAGGGGGCCAAGGGAATGTGTGCGGGGAACGGTGTCAATCTTCACAGTAGGAAGTGTGGAGATGGGTCATAAGGAAATCCTGGCCTTCCTCAAGCACAGAAGCCAAGATGGAGAAACAGGCATGCCTGTCTTCGGCAAAAACAAGCAAACAAAAAGCCAGGGTGGGTGTCCTATTAGGAATAAAGCATTGTGGGTATGTGAAGTAGACTATAATCATTTCCAACCACCCTGGGCAGTAGAACATAAGAGGGGGCTGTTTACCGGGGAACACGGAACTGTTGTAAATGTGAATGGCGGTCACAGTGCTGTGCCCGTACATGCGCACATTGTAGATTGACCAAAATAAGGGTCCAGCATGGGTGGCTCACACCTGAGCTCTGAGGACACTCTTATCTAAAATTAACGAGCAAAATGCCGCAAGTGGAAGTGTGACTCAAGTGGTAGAGCACCACCCTCGAAGGAGAAAGGTTCACGGACAGCTTCCAGGTCCTGAGTTCAAATGCACCAAAAAAAGCGGGGGGTGGGGGGGAGATCAGGAGGGAGTGTAAGGAAATGTGATCACAGCCAGGGACTGACGGTTGCCTTGTCTCCTTCTTCCTAGGTCTGCTGTTCTCTGCCATTCTCACCTCCATTGAAAACTACTTCTCCCCCACGCTCTTGCGTGTCATCCGCCTGGCCCGCATCGGCCGCATCCTCCGGCTCATCCGGGCCGCCAAGGGCATCCGCACCCTGCTCTTCGCCCTTATGATGTCCCTCCCGGCCCTCTTCAACATCGGCCTGCTGCTCTTCCTGGTCATGTTCATCTACTCCATCTTCGGCATGGCCTCCTTCCCCAACGTCCGGAGGGAGGCGGGCATTGACGACATGTTTAACTTCCAGACGTTCGCCAACAGCATGCTGTGCCTCTTTCAGATCACCACCTCGGCCGGCTGGGACGGCCTCCTCAGTCCCATCCTCAACACCGGGCCTCCCTACTGCGACCCCAATGTGCCCAACAGCTGTGGCTCCCATGGGGACTGTGGGAGCCCGGCCGTGGGCATCGTCTTCTTCACCACCTACATCATCATCTCCTTCCTCATCGTGGTCAACATGTACATCGCCGTCATCCTGGAGAATTTCAACGTGGCCACGGAGGAGAGCACCGAGCCGCTGGGCGAGGATGACTTCGACATGTTCTACGAGATCTGGGAGAAGTTCGACCCCGAGGCCACGCAGTTCATCGCCTTTTCTGTCCTCTCTGATTTTGCAGACACCCTCTCCGGCCCTCTGCGAATCCCCAAGCCCAATCAGAATATCTTACTCCAGATGAACCTGCCTTTAGTCCCCGGAGATAAGATCCACTGCTTAGACATCCTCTTCGCCTTCACCAAGCACGTGCTGGGCGAGTCCGGGGAGTTGGACTCCCTGAAGGCCACCATGGAGGAGAAGTTCATGGCCACCAACCTCTCGAAAGCATCCTACGAGCCCATCGCCACCACCCTTCGGTGGAAGCAAGAAGACATCTCGGCCACTGTGATCCAAAAAGCATACCGGAACTACGTACGGCACCGATCCTCCGTCATCTCCCGCACGTCACATGCACCCAAGAACCCAGAGGGGGGCCTGTCGCCCTCGGGTGAACACGACGCTGCCTTCATGACCCAGGGTGCTTGTGAGCTCCCCGACAAATCCGCCACCACATCGGCCACGTCCTTCCCACCGTCCTATGACAGTGTCACCAGAGGCCTGAGTGACAGAGCTGGTGGGAGCACATCCAGCTCAGTACAGAATGAACTGGAAGTGACTTCCCCTCAGCCCTAGCAAGGGGCTTCTGGCCTGGATAGAGCCATCCGTTCCTTGGTCCAGCGATCCAGAACTCCTGGCCGCCCGCGACCAAAATCCCTCATGGTGACAAGAGTCGGAAGGCTAGATTTTTTTAACTCCAATGTGATATCCATGATGAATTAGAATAACAGATAATAGGCCGGGCTACTTGTGGCTCACGCCGGTCATCTCAGCTACTCAGGAGGCTGAGATCTGAGGATCATGGTTCAGAGCCAGCCCCAGGCAGGAAAATCATGAGACTCTCATCTCCGATGAACCACCAGAAACTGGAAGTGGTGCCATAGATGGCTCAGAGTGAAAGAGCTCCAACCTTAAGGACAAAAGCTCAGGGACAGTGCCCAGGCCCAGAGTTCAAGTCCCAGGACCAAAAACAACAAAAAAGCTCTCATGCCAACAAGAGATCCAAGTCTAGATTTTGATCTCCAATAGGATATTCATGATGAATTAGAATAACAGGTAATGGGCCGGGCCCCTGGTGGCTCACACCTGTCATCCTAGCTACTTAGAAGGCCGAGATCTGAGGTCTGAGGTTCAAAGCCAGCACCAGGAGAAGGGAAGTCCATGAGACTCTGATCTCCCATGAACCACCAAAACGCTGGAAGTGGTGCTGTGACTAGAGGGGATAGAGCTCCAACTTTGAGCAAAAGAAGGTCCAGGACAGTGCCCAGGGCCCTGAGTTCAAGCCCTCAGAATAAATAAATAAAAGTTAAATGCCTTTATTTATTTAGTTAAATGACTAGAAAACATGGAGGCAAAAAGAAATGAATAAATACAATAAAGTTATGCCCTACTTTAAAGGTTAAAAAATAAAATCTCTTCATTGATTTTGTGAAGGTGGAGGGGCGAAGGGACTAGGACCAGAACTTTGACTTCCAACACAAACTTCTCAGGACTGGAAACTTTCAACAAAAGCATGGCAATGACCTTGTGGGAAGGTCAGGCATTGTCTCCTTGGAAAGCCACTTCTAGAGGCGGCCATGTTTAGTTAGGATTTTTGCATGACTGCATGTTGAAAAGCTCCTGATTAACTTCTTCAGCTGCAGTGGATGAACACTTGTGGTCTCTGTCATGAAAGCCTTCGAAATCGCCATTAAAATTCATATTTTCAAAGACAGATCAAGACCAGGGCTTGTTATTAAAGTACCATTTTGTTATCTTGTGTGTATGTGTGTATGCGTGTACACACACCAGACCTGGAGCTTGAACTCAGGGCTTGGGCACTGTCCCTGAGCTTTTTATACTCAAGGCTGGCGCTCTACCACTTTGAGCCATAAATATGGCACCACTTCCGGTTTTCTGGTGGTTCACTGGAGATAAGAGTGTCATGGACTTTCCTGCCCCGGTTGGCTTCAGACCTCAATCCTCCAGATTTCAGCCTACTGAGTAGCTAGGATGACAGGCGTGAGCCACCAGTGTCTGGGTCTTACTTAGCTTTTTCACCTCAAGACTAGTCATCTACAATTTGAGTCATACCTCTACTTCTGGCTTTGATTTTATTTTTGCTGGTTACCTGCAGATAAAGAGTCTTACAAACTTTTCTACCACACTTCTGCCAGAGCTGGCTTTGGCCTTTAATCCCTGGGCAAAAAGAGAAATAAAAACTATTAAAAAAAAGAAAAAGAAACAAACTAAAGCAGCCAATGATCCACTCAAAAACCGGAAGTGGCCTTCTGGCTCAAAGTGGTAGAGTGCCAGACTTGAGCAAAAAGAGCTCAGGGACACAGCACCCAGGCCCTAAGTTCAAGCCCTCCCAACTGACATGGACCAACAAAAAAAAAAAAATGTAATGCCACTAGAATAAAAAAAAAGCAATGTATAGAGCAAAAACAAATGCTTATAATGCACAGGAGCTCTCTATTTCTTACGGACATCACAAGTGACTCAGATCAGTAACAATCCATATCTCTAAACAGTAGACTAATTGGACAAATGGTGTATCTTCTTAAAACTGTACTTTTGTACAACAATGAAAGTAAAATAGAGATAACTTCACGAGAAAAGCAGTTCACAAATAGAGTGCTTGTTTAGCATGTATAAGAATTGAATCCCTGGTACTAAAAAAAATAAAAATAAATGCTTTTATATTGAACAAAAGTCTCATATTCAAAGAATTCTTTATGAACTTTTATAAATCAGTACAAAACAGACAACACAATAGAAAATTAGCAGGAGAGTTGAAGAGGCACTTCACAAAAGAAGAAATCTGAATAACTAATAAACATTTTTAAAGGGTGAACAACCTAATTAGTAATCAGGGAAATATGCAAATTAAAGCCACAATGAAATAACCCTCCCACATTGGTCAGGCCTGCATCATTTTACATTTTAACAAACATCAAGTATTCGGCCAACATGGAAAGTAATAACTCTCAGAGCTCTGAATGGGAGAAACTAAATGCCGGTGGCTCACGCCTGTCATCCTAGCCAACTCAGGAGGCTGAGATCTAGAGGATTGTGGTTCAAAGCCAGCCAGGGGCAGGAAAGTTCATGAGACTCTTATCTCTACTGAACCACCAGAAAACTGGAAGTGGCGCCATTTAGATGGCTCAAGTGGTAGAGTGCCAGCCTTGAGCAAAAAGAGCTCAGGGATAGTGCCCAGGCCCTGAGTTCAAGCCCTGGGACCAGTACATACAACACCAACACCAACAAGAGAGCGTATGACACAGAGATTGGACATAGCAATATCTTGGTTGCTTCTGTTCTTCCTATAACAAAATACCTGGTGCTGAGAAAGAGAGCAAAGGGGTTCATGTGAGTCATGGGGCCCTATAGCATGGCATAGAAAGATGGCATTTAATGGCATAGAAAGATGGCATTGCATGGCAACAGTGTGGAGACAAGGGGGAGGGGGGGAGGGAGGGGGGAGCCATGGGGCCAGACAGGAAATGAGAGCTCAGAGACAGACAGACAGACAGACAGACAGACCAAGCTTATTTGTGTAATCACCTCCCTCCTCTTCCTGAGCCTTTTTCACTCAAGCCTGGGCGCTCTACTCCTTGAGCCACACCTCCGACTCTGCCTTTTGGTGTCTTCATGGACTTTCCTGCCCCAGTAGACTTCCAACCTTGTTCCTCCAGAGCTCAGCCCCCTGAGTAGCTGGGATGACAGGTGTGAGCCACGGCACCCGCCTCCTACCACTCCTGTCTGGTAAGCAAAAGAGTCGAGAATAATGGGGGAGAGAGATCACAGTTGTGGCTCACAAAAGCCTCCAGCGTTTACTTTCTGGCCCTTTCCTGAGAAACTGCAATAGGAATGTTTGCCAACCGACAGACTCTTTCCATTCCCTTGAATACATTCCCTTTAATAAATGCATTCCCTTTAATATGTGACAAAAGGTCCCTTGCTGGAGAAAAGGCCAAGTGGGAGCCCTTGAACTCGTTCTTATCAGAAGAGCCATTCAAGAGCCATCTCACTCCCTAGAGAGTGTCACCAACAAAGACCAAAACGTTCAGCCAGGCACCGGTGGCTCCCGCCTGTCATCCCAGCTACTCAGGAGGCTGAGATCTGAGGATCACAGTTCAAAGCCAGCCCAGGCAGGAAAGTTTGTGAGACTCTTATCGTCAATGAACCAGGAAAAAAAAATCTGGAGCTGGAACTGTGGCTCAAGTGGTAGCGCACTAGCCTTGAGTGAAAATGATAAGAGATACCACCCAGGCCTTGAGTTCAAGACCCAGGACTGGCACAAGAAAAGGGAAAAGAAAGAAGGAAGGAAGGAGAAGATGAAGAAGGAGGAGGAGGAGGAAGAAGGAAGGGAAGAGGAGGAGGAGGAGGAGGAAATGGAAGGGAGGGAGGGAGGGATGAAGGGGGAAAGAAGGATAAAAAGGACAGTTTGCTACACAAGAGGCTGTGATAGGAGGACTGAAATCCAAGCCTGCCCCTCATAACCCCCCCCCCACCAAACCACAGGACCCCATCTGAAAGACAACTAAAGCAAAATAGTAATGGAGGTGTGGCTCGAGTGGTAGAGTACCAGCTTAGCCCTGAGTTCACACCAGGTACCACCAAAAGTAACACCAGAGTTTATTCATTTACTTAAAAATTAAGAAGAAAAGCCGGGCGCCAGGGGCTCACGCCTGTCATCCCAGCTACTCAGGAGGCTGAGATCTAGAGGATTGCAGTTCGAAGCCAGCCTGGGCAGGAAAGTCCCTGTGAGACTCTCCCATGAACCACCAGAAAACTGGAAGTAGTGCCAAATATATGGCTCAAAGTTGGTAGAGCACTAGCCCTGAGCAAAAGCAGATCAGGGACAGTGCCCAGGCCCTGAGTTCAAGTCCCATGACCGGCCCCCAAAAATCAAAAGCCAAGTGCTAAGAAGTCAATCTCTCCAGCTGCTCCCCAGACCTCTGTGCCCTCTGGGAAGCTGGGGTTCCTGGCCTGGGAGGAGGGAACAGAAGGCCAGAATCTCCACAGAGCCACAGCAAGACATAGCTCCTCTGTTCTCTAAGCGTTCCCTAGAGAACCAGTATCTTCTCTCGCTCTTGTACAAGAAGAGTGGTTTTTGTCAGTTCCAGCTGCCATTGTGAGCAGGTGTTTTACACACACACACACACACACACACACACACACACACACACACACACATTCCTGGTCTGAAATACTGACTTGGGGAGAGGGAGGGAAGGGGAGGAAATGCTCTGTGAATTCTCCGATCCAGAAGGGCCCTTTGGCTCATGCATTTTTCTTGGGAGCCTGTAGGGGGTGCTAGAGACAGGTGGAAAAATACCTAAAATTCTGTGTGTGTGTGTGTGTGTGTGTGTGTGTGTGTGTGTGTGTGCTGATACCTGGGATTTGAACTCAGGGCCTAGGCATTGTCCCTGAGCTTTGCTCTTTTTTTTTTCTCACAGCTGGTGCTCTACCACTCAAGCCAGAGCTCCACTGCTGGCATTTTGCTGGCTCGTTGGAGATAAGAATCCCTGCGGCTTGGGCTGGGAAGGTGGCTTAGTGATAGAGTGCTTGCCTAGCATACATGAGGTCCT